ACACTATGTACAACATAATGTACCATACCAAATCAGAATGATACCCCCAATGGCTTTGTATTATCTTGCGGTGTAAATTGTGCATTTCATCAAAACCTCCGTCACACATCATTCATAACGCTTCGCAAAATCGGGTATATTCATCGTGAATCATGATTTCGTCATCCAGAATCCTCAGTTTCCAGCAGCAATAGCCTTCTTTGCTTGATCGATAACATCATTTGCCTTTGCCTCTTCTGCCTCATCACCACCTCTTTGAACTAAGTCCTCCAACTTAAGTATAGCATCTGCGAGTCGTTCACGGAGTGGTGGGAAGACTGCTTTGGTTTCTTCGATTGCGGCGCGCTATTCGATTATTAGTTTTTGATACACAGATTGCTATGGTATAAGAGCGCAAGAACATAAAATACTAACCTCCTGCTTCAAAGAATACTCTCTATTCTCATCCTCCTCAGTAGCTTCCTCTAATTTCTTTAATCGTGCCTGTTGAGAAACCAACTCTTTATGATATGAAGCTTCTTCCTTTACAAGACGAGCAACAGATGATGTAGCTATAGCGAGTTGAGATGGAGGCGCCATTTTGAGTGATTTTCTGGAATTTTTGAAAAAAAGAATCGTGTATGTTTGTTAAAGTTACGAGACTTTGAGGGGCTGAATTTTGAGGATAATGATACTGTCCTGGAGGGGTGCTTGACCGCTTTTCTGGCAGAATAACGTCGCGAGATCAGATGATTTTCTTTGAATTCTTCACTCCAAAAGTAACAACTACTTATCCATGGTAGTGCACAGGATGTGTCTAGAACTGTTGTTGGCAACATTGATTTGGTATTTTTTTAATCTCGTGTCGATAGGTAAGATCTCTGTTCCATACAATTGTCGTTATGAAGAAGATTGGATGAAGAAATGGGTGCCTTCAACCGATCATTATTATATATCTGCTTCTCGCCATTTTGTTCTAGAGTCATGAAGCAAGAAACAAACTTTTTCATTCACGGTAGTTAGTTCTAGCCACCAATTTCTAGCCACCAGTTTCTAGCCACCAAATTCTAGCCACTAAGACTACGATAGGTATCGTTAACTTCAAGGAGCCAGTGCTCACAATTGTTGGTCATGAGAGGTGTCAAGATGATAGGAAATCATCAGCCGAGTCTTTCTATCGGACCGATCAGGTGACCTTTGAGAAAGTGCTCTGGCATAGACTGTCTTGATTTCTCTTGTTGTACCTTTATGCTTTTCTACCAGTTCTCGTCATCTAGAACAATTAGAATAGCCTGTTTAGGGTTGCAAGTATGTTGAGCATGAGCCTTTAGTCACGCATATTCCTCAATGTTACATAAAGTGATGGATCGAAGTCAGATCCGTCAAATGTCGTTCTTCCAAAGCTATAATCTTCGTATGACATTACAACTAATTCCCGGTGCACAACATGACACTCTAACGCCGGAATTATAATGTACGTACCACGTAACCTGTTTGTCCGCTGGATATCAAATTTCTCGCATGAAGTACGACATATATGTCTCAATATAGGAAGGCTTTAAGTTGAGTCGGGACGAGGACAATGAATCAGCTACTTTGAAAGCCAATTGTTTGGTAATGACGAATCTGAAATGATTAATTTTGTCAGCTTTCTACAGTGAGAGGAAAAAAATCAATCCTAGATGTCTCAATGATCTCTTGCTCTTGTCTTGTGTCGTGGTTTGCTCCAAGAGAAGGAGATCTAAAGGCCCTACAAACTAGTAACAATTGCTTGAGGTCTTTGCGGGGTGTGAACCCCTGGTGTAACTTCATTCTCCGCAAAGTCTCATACGTTATAAAACATATTGACGTTATTCACTGGTACAATATGTGATCATTCACAATGAGCGCCAATAAATTTTGGTTATACATAGATCAACGAACCCATCTTTCGTAATTTATACAATATAGGCTCATCACCTCGGTGAAATATGACTTTAGCTACAAACATATTTATTCTCATAGTCCCTGGTGTCTTTTGGCTTTTTCCGCATCTGTATTCTATTTCAACATCAAAATGATTCTTCACTCTACTCTTATCAGTGTCTTGGCTGCAATATCATTCTTACCATGGTTATCCTTTTCCGCACCAACAGTAAACCGAGCTACATCTCCTAAATATGTCTTTGCTCATTTTATGGTAAGTTATCCTTGTCGATAGTCTTTTGATACTCATATTAATCAGTTTCTCAACAGGTTGGGATTGTCGAGAATTATAAACTATCGGACTGGAAGATGGATATGGCATATGCACAAGAGATCGGTATTGACGGGTTCGCTTTGAATTGTGCAAGTATTGATAGCTATACTCCAACTCAACTTGCACTTGCATATCAAGCCGCTGAAGAAACTGGATTTCATGTTTTCATATCATTCGACTTTGCATATTGGAATAACGGAAACACCAACAACATCACAGATTACATGAACCAATATGCATCTCATCCTGGCCAAATGCAATATAATGGAGGAGCTGTGGTCAGTACCTTTGTGGGAGATTATTTTGATTGGGCACCTGTCAAAGCTGGAACAAATCACTCAATCTTTGCCATTCCTATGATGCAAGATCCTATCGAAGCAAGTTATCTCTCTACATCATTCGATGGTGCTTTTTCTTGGTTAGCATGGCCTACAGATGGTGGAAACAGTATTATTCCCGGTCCAATGTCAACTTCATGGGATGATAAATTCTTGACAAATCTCAAAGGAAAGCCATATATGGCTCGTAAGTAATCCATGATTTTGGAAGCAGGAATCATTGTTGATTTTCATTTAGCTGTTTCTCCGTGGTTCTCCACACATTTTAACTCTAAGAACTGGGTATTCATAAGCGAAGAACTCATTACCGACCGATGGAATCAAATGTTGGCTATGAAGCCCGCACTTATTGAAATTATATCTTGGAATGGTAAGTATGATGATTCATGAAAGCAAAATTAAGCTCACGGATGTTCTAGATTTCGGTGAATCTCACTATATCTCTCCAGCGGAGCCAAATCATAAAGATGATGGTTCATCACAGTGGGCTGACGGCTTTCCTCACGATGGTTGGCGTATAATTACGAAACCATATATCGCTGCTTATAAAGCTGGAGCAAGTACACCAACCATCACAGAAGATCAACTTGTATATTGGTATCGACCAACACCCAAAGGCATTACTTGCACAAATGATACTCTTGGACCTCCAAATGGACGCGAAATGCTCGCTGATGATATATTTGTCACCACTCTCCTTACAAAACCAGCAACTCTAGTTGTTACCAGTGGAGATAAGACTCCTTTATCAATTGACGTACCTGCTGGTATCGTCACCACCAATTTCACCATGGGTGTAGGGAACCAATATTTCATGGTTACTAGAGAAGGCAGCCCAGTCTTGAATGGATATGGTGGTTTGAAAATAGCCGACAAGTGCGAGAAATACAACTTCAATGCATATGTGGGATCTTTGAATGGTACTAGTAGCGATGGTCCGCCGCCACCGGCTAATACAACTTCAACGAGTACTTTAATAACCACGACTTCTACCTCTACCTCTAAATCGTCAACATCTAGTCCCATCACCACAACGAGTACGACAAGTACTCCCCCAATTTTAACTACATTCTCATCCTCCAGCACTACATCAACAACTAGCATAACCAATTCCAGCACTTCAATTATTTCCTCCACGACCACAACTTCTCCTACTTCCATTATTCCAACCACGACCAAAACTTCTTCCCCTACTTCCAGTTCCTCAACATCCACCTCCCCTTCAACACCTTCTCCCTCTACAGTCTGTACCTCAGGCTGGGGTCCAGGGAATTATATTGGTCTCTGTCAATTTACCTGCAACTTTGGCTATTGTCCCCCTGGTCCTTGTACATGTTTATCGTATGGTGCTCAAATTCCTGAGCCACCAATCACAAATCAAGCAGGTTATCCGTTACCAGGAGAAGATGATAGTTATTTGGGATTGTGTAGTTATAGTTGTAATCATGGATATTGTCCAACTACTGCTTGTCGATTGGGTTAGGCTTGGTGGAGGACGGGAGGATGTGCGAATATATTATGACTTCATTTGAGATGAAGCAGTGGTAAAGAGTTTGCAGTATGGAAGTTCGAATGTTTGATGCTCCTTTCAATGTTCGTTTAGCATAACATTGTTTCGCAGGTCATACAATGATTTATTGGCGTCTGAAATGCGTTGGAATGATAGAGTCAGATAGATAGATATGATGAAGAACTATACATATATCGGATATTCTCATTAAAGAACAAAGAATCTAGATTGTATGAATTTCTCATGAATGAAAGTATAACCAGAGCTATAGGAAGATAATAACTAGACGAAATACGTTCAAAAATTGACCACAGCTCAATTCTCCTTAGAGTTGAGCCTCGTTTTGTCATTGTATCTGAAGAGCCATGTACAGGGTTGAGACTCATCGTGCAACGGACAAGAACTTTTCCAAACATTAAGTTTTCATCTACTACTCCACACTTGAAGTTTAATTGGCACATTTCGTCTGTTTACCTGCAGGATAGGTAGAAGAGAGTCTTTGCAGTCTAGGAATGAGCGCATTGTAATTATGGGATGTTGGCTGGTGGGTAGCAATATACAACAAACAGTTGGTTGGATCAGGGATTTGAGCCAACCATTTCGCCCAAAGAGAAACCCAGCGAGTAAACAGTAGTTTCAATAATTTTAATTTCTCAGAAAAACTAAAGCAGAACTACATGCAAACCGTCTCTTAGTTTGGAATTTTCAAGTCCTCAACCAATAACATATTTTCGGCTCGGCTGTTAGATGGATGTGTTTGTAACCAGCAGGTGAATTGTAGGCTCTTACTTGCAGCCGAAAGACGATCTACCTACGCCTCTTCGTCGCATACTCACAACCTCAAGACATCTTTGGGGGTATTTAACTCTCTACTATTCTCAACATTGGTGATTCAGCCTTTTCGATAATACAAAGCCTTCAAAGACAGATCGATATGTTCGCCGAGATTGTTAGCGGTTTGGCTCTAGGCTATTTGCTATGGAGCATGATTGCCATGGAAATCAATCATCGTCGTGCATCAAAGATGGGAATTCCTCTTATTCGACTCCCCGTGGACCCAATGAATATGATTTGGCTGATTCTGGAGCCATCTCTCTGGAGACTTTTGGATCAATTACCTATAAACTTTGGCAATTTTAGTCATTATTCACGCCGAGACTGGCATTTTCACGACAAAGCAACATCACATTTGAAATATGGTCCAATCTTTGGATTGGTCACTCCCTGTGATGTCTACGTTTATGTTGCAGATCCTAATGCTATTCATGAAATATTTACCCGACGCGGAGATTTTCTTCGCCCATCCAAGATGTACAGTAAGTTATCATCAGGTTTGGTGATCAACAGAAAACTAATTCCTGTTAGCTCTTCTCGAGGTCTACGGTCCATGTATATCCACAGCAAACTGGACTAATTGGCCACGACACAGAAAAGTTTTGGCTACACCCTTCAACGAAAACATCATGAAGTTCGTTTGGCAGGAGTCACTCAAGCAGGCAAAAGAAATGCTGGAGACATGGAATCAGCGTTCCGAATCTCGGGAAATATCCACCGCCAAAGATACGCGCACTCTATCTCTGAATGTTCTCGCTGCAACTGGCTTTCGAAAATCATATCAATTTCGTAGCTCTTCCCAGGCTGGAACAGATGAAGCTGGTAGCTATCGTGACGCGCTGCAAACTGTCCTGGATAATGTAATATTGATCATGTTTATTCCTTTCCGATATTTGTGTCTACCCTTTATGCCGAAATCTTGGAGGCTCGTGGGCAAGGCTGCTACTGATTTCAAAGTATACATGGAAAATATGTTGGATGAAGAGTCTACCTTACTCAAAGAGGGCAAAGTCGGCAGTGGAACTTTAATGACTTCTTTTGTAAGAGCTTTGGGAGTACATCAAAAAGAGGAAATGGTTCCATCCCGACAAACGGCACAATCTCCTTCCAAAGTTCTCACGGTCGAAGAAATCTTTGGCAATATTTTTGTTATCAATTTCGCCGGGCACGATACCACGGCAAATACACTAGCCTTCAGCATGATTCTCCTTGCAGCCTATCCAGAAGTTCAAGATTGGGTTGCGGAGGAATTGCAAGAAGTCATCAAAGATAATGCCGACGAATCTTTGGAATACGAGAAGGTGTTTGAGAAGCTTAATAGATGTAGAGCTGTACTGGTACGTAACTCAGTTCATTCAAAAGTTTCGACTTCTATATTCTCATTTTTTCTAATACATCTAATATAGCTCGAAACTCTTCGACAATTTCCACCCATCATGGCACTGCCCAAGTGGAGCAATGACATTCCACAAACGCTAGATATACAAGGGAAGACTATTATCATTCCACCCCATACAGGAGTAATGCCTAGTATACTCGGAATCCAAATGCATCCAAAGTACTGGGAAGATCCCTCGCTTTGGAATCCTTCTCGCTGGATTGAATCTACGCCCGACCCAACTTCCCAAACTGGCACATTGAACACAGAGAAAGTTATTACTCCTGCTACCAGTACATTTTTCCCTTGGTCTGATGGACCACAGAATTGTCCTGGGCAAAAGTTCTCCCAGGTCGAATTTGTCGCAGTTTTGGCAATCTTGTTACGACATCACCGAGTGAGTGTCGTCCAAAACAATAATGAAACCCCGGAAAAGGCACAAGAGAGAGCTTTGGCTGTCACTCAAGACTGTGACTTGGAATTGCTTTTGAGAATGCGTGATGCTGACCAAGTAAAATTGATTTGGAAGAAGATTTAGGGGGGATGGTTATTCGTGTGGGATAGGCCTGATTTGGGGGTTTTCTTCATGCATTTGTCGAATGACAGGCTCAATGTATCTCGAGATTTTTCATTAGTAGTCAGTTTCAAAGCAAACTTCACTCTCAAAGTAGGTGGTCTTTGTAGTTTATTTGATGGGAGAATATTATTTAAATTCACAATCGGGTTTGCGGAATCTTTCTTGGATCAATTGGGTCAATATTGAGAACTGTAAAAATATACTTACATAGTAAAGCCTTGAGCTGAGTTGCGGTTTCAATACATATTATCACTTATTAGCCTTCAGTACCCCAATTGAGGAGTTTTCAAGGTCACTCATCTAAGCCAATTCGTGATGTTGGAGGGGAAAAACCACGTCAGATATAGGCATTTTGTAATGAGGAGATTGTGGACTTGGGTTTGAAACATACAACTGCTAGCTATCTATGCATTCATTTAACATCCTGCAGATCCACCTGAAGACCAGAATCTACCTTCATCCATCTGTCCATTCAACAACGATTATTGCCATTCTGGCTTCTGTTGGAACAGTGATTCCAGTGAGTTGGGATCTGGAGTCGGGTCTCGAAAACAAAGAAGCCCAGATCTGGGGATCTCACTCTCTGGCATTATTGATAGCCTTCTTGGAAATTTCCATAAGTCTTTTGGAGATTGGTCAGACACGTGTTGTTTGAATTGATCTCTCACTGATATCAAGAAAGGAAAGAAAACGGCACAGATTTCTATAGAGCCACGGGAATAACTCTGAATACCTAGTGCAACGGATATATGAGTAGAAATAAGGGTAACAACATGGTTACCCGAGCAATATGAAATGTGAACTCAGGCAGAAATCAGGCAAAAGTTTGTAGTAGGGCCGCACAATACCTAGTATTTATATATTATTTTCAACTTTGAATAATTCTTTCCTCAACCACCCACATAACAAATTCATCAACCTCAACGATGAACCCAAACTCGAGAGGCAACTACCCACCTGGGTATGGACCTCCAAATCCAAATCCAAATCCGTACGCAAATCCTTACGCATACCAAAACGCACCAGTATATGACTACTCATCCGGTCAATACTATTACCCGCAACCACAACCTTGGCCCACTCCAAATCCTAACGGAGCATGGCAGCCTCAAGGCTATCAACAACCTTATGGCACGCCAAATCCTAACGGATCATGGCAGCCACAAGGTCCCCAACCGCTAAATCGCGACCAGCAAAGAGCCGCAGCACGAAAAGTTGTACTTCAGTGCGGCAATTGCTCTCGCATAGGTCATGAGCTGAAAAGATGTGTTGGTCCAGTTAATGCATTCGGTGTTATCGATGGATGTCCAATGTGCAACACAACGGACCACGTTCTCTTTGAATGTGTCAAAGCCTGGAAATCCGATGGTAATCAACGCCACTTGCTGATGCTCGGTCGAAATCAGAAAGCTATGTTATCATGGCCAACTGAATTGACTGAACATCCAGTTTGGAAAGCCCTATCCGCCGAAACCAGACCAAAAATCTGGACACCATCTTTCGCACTGCAGTACCAATTGGAAAATCCACATTATTGGAGAGACTATATTTACGCAAGGACATGGCAGGAAGATCCACCAATTGCAGAAGACCCAGCCTGGGGAAATCCTTCTCTCGTGATTCATCTCAAAGATAGATCGGAGAGAGGATTGACCCGCAATGCAAGCGGTCTCGGTCGTCGACCACAATCACAACTTCCTCCGCCATCGGCACAATATTTCCCTCCTCCGATGATGCCGCAATTTCTATCATACGCATCATTTCCACCACCACCGCCTCCACCTCCACCGCCGTCGCAGCCGCCAAGATCAGCACCCGCCTCATCACCTGATACAATTACTCTTGCAGGACTTGAGAGCAGCTTGACCAAATTCGCCCAGAACTTGATAAATCTTGCTCCCGCTGGTGGTAATAATGGTCGTGGTCGGAAGAAGCTCGCCATCAAGGGTGCATCCAACGCCAAAGTCAAGGATCGAAGTCAAAGCCCCAAAGGTCAGACTGAGACTGAAACATATCGCGAAAGATCGCCTCTCCGCACATCCGGTGTCAAATTGACAGATCGCATGTCTTATCCTAAACTCAATTCCAGTCGGGTGAAGGCTGATAATGACGGCGATATCTCTGACGATGACGTGGAACCTTTGTCGAAAGTTGAGGATGTACTCTCTAACTTTGACAATGCTCCAGGAGATGCAGCATCGGCAGCAAAAGCAGCCAGGAAAACGATTCTCAATCGTAAGAATCGGGCGAAAGCAAAAGCCAGGCGCGATGCAGCCAAAGCCAAAGATCGGAGTCAAAGCCCTGAAGCTCAGATTAAGACTGAGACTTACCGCGAAAGATCGCCCCTTCGCACACCCTATATAAAGTTGGAAAAGTTGGAAGATCCCATGTCTTATCCTGAACTCAAACCTAGTTGGGCGAAGGCTGATAATGACGTGGAACCTAAAGGCCAATAATGGCTTCCAGTTGCCTCCTCTTACCGGAAAGCCTCGCTGATCTTTTCTCCTTTTCTCTCTCTCTTTTCTCTTCTTTAATTTGTTGCTACGCTCTTAATGTAATTTCTGAACCTTGGTGTTCATACTGGACCTTTGTGTTCATATAACCTTTCGTGGGGTTCATTATGCCTTTTGGGGGGCTCAAAGAGTCTTCTTATTCTCTTCCGCCTTTAGTAAGGCTTGGTATTCCTAGCGGAGCCAATTATATAACATGCATTCTTAGAAAAATGCATCATTTTCCAGCTCAAACTTGTTCCATGCATAAGTGATTCTCTTGGGGGGAGGGGGGAGCATTTGATATCGAATGAACTAACAAACTAACAATTTGATAAATTTCCTGAAGAATACATTGAATGAAATGAACTGACTGGGACAACATTAATTTTTTGGCAGAAAAATCAAGAAGAGACAGAAAGTGGTATGAAGTATAGTTTTTGAAAGTTACTTGACTGGTCTATAGATCTTCGAATCTCTGCTGAAAGTTTCCTCGCCGGTAAAGAAGTAGGAGAAGTAAAAGAAGACAACTATAGGAGTGCAAGATGCTCTCTATACGCCGCGCACTTTTCTGAATAATATCTTAAAATCGGGAAAGACATATTTGTGTTGCTTTATTGGTAGGTTCACTACTGGTGCACGAACTGATAGAACAATACGAGAATGGACTTTGAAGTGTCTCTTGGGAATTGTTACAATGTTTCATTATAGATTAAACAATCAAAAGATAAATTCTGATATCAAACAATTGAAGGATGAATTTGTTGAAAATTTCGAAAGTTGAGAAGTGTCCCGTCAGACCATGCATCCACAGGTGTTTATGCCATTTGTGCTTCCTGGATAAATATTCCTTGAAACTAGCTCTAGATTAACCATATCGATGAACACAACTCAATACACATAATTTGCTGAATATATCGTTTTGTGAGTGATAGATGGTGAAGTTTAATATGTTTGAATGATTGATGATTGAATGAAGTGAAGTTAGAGTTCGGTGAAAAATTTCCGATAAGCGATATGTGCCTGAGGATTTACAGCGCCCGCTAATTTGATCGCTAATGAAATAAGCACTGGATTGCCTGCCGGGGTTGCGAATTGCACCTGTCCTCCTTCTTGTGTAACAAGCAAACTTTGATTTTTGAATTACCTATTTAGATAGGTAATTGAGAAGCATAGTGATTGAAAATGTATCTTGTGAGAATCCTTCTGATTCTCCATTATTGATCGTTGATCTCAGCGTAACCATCGGTCACGCTTGAGTGTTGACCGTCGTGCTCTTTCGAATTAATATCGAGGTCTAATAAGGTGTGGTGTTAGCGATGGGGAATGTTCGACCCTGCTGATGTTGACATGGTGCTAATTATTTCCTAGTCCAGGAGAACGAGGATGTACTACACCCGACATCATATAATAGCTGCATAGCAATTGTCTCCTGTCCCTTGCTACAAGTTCGAATTGGCACGACGCTATTTTTCTTTAAACGTGTTGTCAAGAGTATAAAATTAGCTCTATATCTAGTTCGCCCCAAGCTTCAGGCATAAAAATCAAACACAACCTTGGAATTACATGCCGCGTTTGCTATACTCTTGTGGCGTACAACGGCTACCGGCATTCTGCATCTTGTTGATCAATCATAATTCTTGATTAGGTAGTCGACAGCCAATCACAGCAGATTGCCAAAAACAAGTTCAATATAATCTGTTGGCAGATTCAACCCTCTAGTGTGCATTCTCTGCAGCTAGCCGGGACCTGCAATTAATTTATCTGTCTCAAGGCCGGTAGCTGCGACCGAAATGGGCTCATGGAAATTTCACATCTACCTTCTCAGTCCCAATCAATGTATTCACTCAACGGATACAAGTAACCAGGAAAAGATGCAATGAATCAATCATATCGATCTTGGAAGTCGCATTACATGAATTGGTAATCGGGATTCATTTCATTTCCGATCTTAAAACGTGAGGTCAAATATATGGCACCAAGCTTGACTTTATACTTCGTTGGGATTTAGACTGAAGAGACAACGTATCCGCTCGCCGGATGAATCAACTAATTGTCACAGGAGCTACGCCAGAGCGGCTTGAGCGTGCAAGAGCTCTTCAGCGTAAACTCTTGGGGCTCATCTGTTAGTAAATTCGCTTGCAACGTTCATTTGTCGCGTCCCGTACTAATCCTGGTGTAGTAGCTGCGAGGACAGGCTTATTTGAACTTATTCGAACACCTCGAGAGTCAAGTATTAGTTTTAAGTGGAGGTCTACGAGTCCTGAATATGATGGATTTCCTAGTGAACCGGACGAAGTAAACGAATTCCATCCACTGCCGCAAAAAATGACCATCAAATGGTCGTTGGAAGATATCAATAAGTGTAACAAGGCAATTGATGGAGGCTTCATTAGTATAAAAGCATCATCAAAAGCTCATAGATGGACGAGACTCGATGTCCAAAAGTATACGAGAATTCGATTGCATGATTTCATAGGTGAGCGTACCAGAATCTAATGGAGATCAGCTAGGTGACTGAAGTTTCTAGAGTCTTCACTCGGGCATTCTCTTAATGCTCGACCGCGTTGGATTAGTCCGATCTCAAATGATGAACGGTTCAATTCCTACCGATGGCAGTTCAGCGAGACGTTTTCCGAGTTTAGGCAGAAGCCTTTCTCCCTATGGCTTTCGGCAAATTACTTTGAGCTTAACAATGCTTTAGATACTGGGGCCCTAACAGTTGTTCCAATTCGTGAATATGAAGCTAGCCAGAACAGAATCTCAACGAGAGTTTGCAAGCCAAAAGCGCAGGTATCGATCGGCCAAATGTCACCTTCAGCAGTCATACCCTTCCATGAGAATGGGACACAGATACCAGCAAGCGAAAAGGTTCAATGTAACAAAGCGGCTACAAGCTTCATATCAGGCAGGCTTCATGAGGAACATGGCACCTCGGATCTCATACTTCTATGTAACCAAGCATGGAGCCACTTAGAAAATCAGTATACGACGAATGACTGCAAAAACACCTATGCTAGGGCCACGCTTAACATAGGCTTATCTTTGGCAATCCAACTAGAAGATCAAATTCGACGTGCCAACGCACTTGAGAATGAGAACGATAGATTAAATGTACAAGTTTTGCAGTTAGAACACGATCAAGCAATGCTGCAACAAGAGATCTCAAATATGCGGGAGAAGGATGAGAAGGATGTTTCATCCGCAAGATTAGAGGGTGAGAAAATCGCGGAGGAAAACATATTGAGGCTCTGGAATTCGGCAAAAGAGAGGGGCAGAGTGATTGGGGTTTGTGCCATGGAGAAAATGTTTCAAAGGAAAGATATTCGGTCAGATATTATAAGTGAAGTTCGCAACGACTTATCGACCCCTTCTTTAGTCATACCAAACTCCAGAATTGGGGGAAATCAAGACTCTCCAAATGCTCTACAGAGGGTAAGATTATAGTATTTTACTTTGCTCGCATATACTAATTGAACTTCTTAGATTCCTCCAATCTGCGCGGACGAAAGTCGCGAACATCGATTCAAAGTACGCGCTCTAAATTCACCCCTACCTTCCAACTTGACTGGTCCGGCAGAAAATGCTATGGCTTCTTCCAATAATCTTCTTCCTGCCGTTGCAGCTTTTGAATCCCAGAAATCCCACCATAAAACTGCCATTACCAATGCTTCGGTACAGATCCCGCCTGCTACAAACGCATTCCACGAGTCTTTTCTCAATAGAATCCTTGGGCCTATGAATCGCACTCTCAATATAGTTCCGCCATCGCATATTCTAAGCCCCGTTCATTGGACGAGATTTTTCACCATAAATTTGGACACTCAACCATATATCTTCCCTCTATCAACCCCTATTCAAACTTACGGACAGATTGTCCATTTTGTCTCCCAATCCACAGCGGAATCGCCTCGAGCGACGCAAGGAACCGCTTATCCTACTCTTTTGCGACTTTCACAAGACACAGACGAGTATTATTACATCGGTCATTTTGTCGTAAGCAGTGTAGTCACAACAACAAACTTTAATCAAGTCTTAGAAAATTTGCCCGATCTCTCGCCAAATGATAGGCTTACCAAACACAAATTGCTCAAGGAAAGAAATCGGGCTTTGGGCTCAATATCAGGATTGGCAGATGAGTTGCCGGTTGATTTTTATACTTTACAGTATGTCTTCTTTGGCAAAGAACAATACAAGATTCTCGTAGATACAAAGAAGACGTATGATTCTATGAAAGCTGCAGATCATACCATCGATTTATTGATAGAGGCTGATAATCAAACCGATAAATCTTCCACTCCATCTACAACAAGAGATAAAGCCAACCACACAGATTACTTGTCAGAACCGCATAACCAGAATTTTACCCCTCCGGGTCTAAAGTTTCCCATCGCGCCTAAGGCAATGCGGAGTGATCAATCAACTATCGAGGATAAGACTCTCTCGGGGTCAATTCATAGTGATTCTATCCGTTCGTCACTTTCTCGGGTCCATAATATCCCAACGAAGCCAGCAGCAATGAGAGGTGACCATTTGTTCAGCGAGAGTGGGACTTTACTAGAGTCAAGTCTTTATAATTCCATCCGCTCATCTCTTTCTCAAAACGTCAATATTCCCAAGGGACCAGCAACAATGATGAGAGTGTATCCGCCTATTCCTGAAAGTGAAGTTCCATCACAGACAAAGTCAACCCGGTCTAGCACTATTAGCACAAATAATTCTCTAGAAAATGGAACATCTGACGAGCCGGTCGTAGAAGGGAGAAGCTGTACGATTAGTGGTAGGAAATTTCCGAAGAATTCAAATCATCATGACATTGTGAGCACACCGCTCGCTCATCTTAAAGATTCTCATAGAACAACTGCCACATTGAAATTGAAGGGAACGCCCACGTCTGGAAATCAATCTGAAAGCTTCGAAAACTCAAATCGTCACCACGCTACAGACTCACCATTCCCTTCCCCGAGAAAGAATCACGAAAAACTCCTACAGCGGAAAAGAAAACACACTTCAGATGATGAGAACCGAAGTCTGAAGGAACACTCAAGGGGCTTTGGCAAAACTGTTGGCCCTGATATTTGGCACAGTAAGAGGCCCAGAAACTTGTGATTGGATCGTCGTGTTTGCATTCATGAGTTACAATAATTAGTTGAAAAGGGCAGTATCTATAATTCGCTGGTGAATTCTGGGTTTATTTACAACATACCAAAGTCTGTTTTTGAATCAACTTCCTACTTGAATACAGAAGTTTTTGACATTTCAATGTCCAATAAGAACTCGATATCTCAGACAATCAGGTTGTCCCGAACGAGTTGAATATGCCAAAGTGTTTGAATGCACTGAATATAGTTGTGAAATAAGCGCCAGATATTGCTTCATCATATTGGGTATGAGATCGAACGAGACTGGCTATCTGTAGATAGATTATTTTCTAGGCTATGGATGGATTTGGGATCTCGTTTGGTGAATAGAGAGGACTAGATACTCTGGAGCTTATGAAAATACAGCAATTGGAAATATTGCTTTCCTCTCCATATTCCAGTAGTGTGTTGTGCATCTGTCTTGAAGATGAATCTCGTTGCTACTCGCGAATTTTGCTCTCGTTGTTCATTCAAGCAAACTTCTCAGGCTTAAGGATACTAATCATTTTCTAGTCAAAAGCTATCCGTTTCCTAGAATCAAGCCTAAGCCCATTACGTATACTGTGACAAAACCAGTCGCACGTACAGTGACAGGCAGGATCTCTGAATCCACCGGTGGCGATAAAGCATCGAAAGCTGCATCTGCTGCCAAAGGAAGACGCCTGAATAACACGACCAAGACTGATCCTAGACTTGCAAGCAGAAGTAATACCTCCACCGCTGGCCAATCTTCTGCGCAAGAAAGGGTGAATACGCCTCAGGCACAATCGCATGCTATCCCACCGCCTCCAAAAATCATGGGAAATAGGGAGGACGTCGAATCACTGTAGTCAAGAAGCAGTAAATTTTTCAACAAGACCGTCAGCACCAGCGGATGTACATCTTACTTCGGGAAAGATCCCTTGTCCTGACGCTACCGCTCATAGTCCTTCAATCGAATCATCCGCAGGTAAGCGAAAGAGAACAATTTCCGATCTTGACGCATTACCACAAAGCGAGAGGGCGATAACAGAGCAGAAAAAACGTCTCAAGTCTGAACAGTCTCCACAATTTGACACGATGAAGCAGCTCTGGGACCGCCCTCGCTATGCCATATCCGTCCTGGAAATCCCCACAGTTGCCGAAATGTTGATGTCACGTAAGGCGGCAATAAGCACTTTGGAGTTCGATTTGAATACGGTCTCCATAAGGAAGAGCTTATACTCTACTGCGAACCTGTTGACATTGGAAGAATGACTTACGACGATGCTGTTGAGCTCTGTGAGCCTGCTTTCAAGTTTCTTAATGATTTCTTGAGCAACTCGTTCGGACAATCGGGGTGCATTGAGGACTATCTCAAGTCAAGTAACTAGGTCACCAAAGAGAAGTAAGAAAGAGGAAACCGGCAATCTATTGCTGATACTCATCTTTAGGATAGAAGTGATCGGAATAAACAAGCCAACTGCTCATTGTTTTGATCCTCACCCGTCTCTCCCCCCTCAAAATCATCACTCAAGATCGTCCATTTTTCCTTTTCTTTTCCTTGCTTTTTTTTGAATGTTTTCATTGGCGCCCAATGGACCTCTATGTCCTTTAAACCTTTCTGGGGTCTCAAAGGATCTACTTATTTCCTTCATATGGATTTTTTGGGTCCATTAAACCTCTTTAGGGGTACAAGGCTTAGTAGCCCTTTATTATTTGTTTTCCTTTTAATTTGTAGTAACTTGTAGCTTGGAATGAATATAAATCATACTCTGCCACTCTTAAAGTTCAGAAAATCACTACAAGTTAGTATGATGAGAATGCAATTTGATTCATGTGACATGTTATCCAGAGCTGAGAATAGTTTTATTGCATGGTATCAAAGTGGTAGCAGACTGTGCCGACTTAAGAGTCAAGAGAAAATGCAAATTCTGTACCTGTATCCTGGACTCCATAAAAGAACCAGAAATGAGATCCCCCTCCACGAATTCTTCCACGATATACGGTGCAAGAGCAATTTTTCCAACGCCCAATGGCCGTGGAACTGGAATCTTGGTATGCTTACAGAGTTATTGGAGTGCAACAGCCTCGTTTTCCACCTTCTAGGCGCGATAGAGCGATCGACCTAATACAGCGAAACGAACAATGGCTTGAAGCCATCATTATACGTGACGTGATAAGTCAGATTGTATCCTCCAGTCTTCCATCGAACGGCAGTGAGTCCACTACCAGGCTAATGCTTCTCCGCGAGTTGGCAGGTAATTTGTTCTGGCTCAGATTGTAAAGTCTTTGGAGCCATACCATACCGTTTCTCTTTTATTCCTTCTGAGCTACGGAATTGAAATGCATGACTCTCTCGAGCTATTGTTACCCGATGCGGTTATCAAGTCGGGCGTTGGGAGCGTGACAAGCTGAAACGGACAGCAATGTTGAAAGGAACGAGTCGTGAAATTGATGGCGAGCCGAGTGCGGTCCTCATGAAACTAGGAGCGGCCGCACAGAGGAACAATGTCACGTGACACTCAGCAAACGCTTTCCAACCCCTTCTACTTTCTCTTTTTGACAATTAACGAATCTGTCGTCTCATTTTGGGCCTTTTCCGATCTTGGGAAGCATGGAATGATGATGGAGATACATCTATGTTTTCACTCTTTCAAGCGTCGCAGAAACGATTCTGGGCAGCGTTATTTATAAGACATCCCCTCTAAAGTTATCGAGTGGACGTGAAGTGAAGTGAACGGCGAGGAGAGATTGGTAGTTCCACGATATTTACCATCGAACACCAAACTCACACAATTGGTCAATGGTAAACAATTTTACTCTTCCATATCTCATCAAGATACCTACAGTCACAATATTGATATCACTTCTCATCCCTGCCCTTGAACAAGGGTTGCAGCGCGTCTGTGCAAATCACAACCTCGTAATCATCAAACTCGTGCTCCAGATGAGGAAGGTCGCGCGTCGCACCAGCATCGCGGGTTTCACTTGATCGGATGGTGAAATGTTTTATTCACCTCAAATCTATTGACTTTCTGTCCTTCCATCTAATTTTCTAGAATTATTTGTGTGTTTATGAGACGAAGAGATTCAACCTTAATAGCCCATCTAGCCGTCGTTTTTGCATTGGATTGGACAATTTGATACCGGATATTTTCGGAACCTCGGTATCACGTTCATTTACGGACAGTGTGATTGTTTGGCAAAAAGTATCTCCAGCAACTAAATTTGAGATGGCAACATCTCCAACATCCTCTAATTCAATCCCCCCATCAGGACAAACTGCTTCAAGTGGCAGTGCTGGTCAATTTGATATTGACAATACACTATTTGTTAGCAAAGATGTCTCTTTGTCCTTGAGTCCTGAGTCGTTGGTTATCAAAGGTATGTAGGTCTATTTCGTGTAGTATCTTCAATATACTCAAGAGTACACAGGCGCCGAGACAGCAAAAAAGCCAGAGAAAGGAGCAAAATCAGCCGGTGCCCGTCGTTCCGTAACACTGGATGCATCTGCCTACTCAGAGCCTGTTGGGGCATCAACTTTGAGGGCAATACCTTTACGTCAGATCCTTTGGGCTGAAATAACTGAGACTGAACTCATCATAAATTACGCAAAGGAGATTTCAAAAACTGTTCTTCAACCAGCGGTACTGAAGTATGTTATTGAAGAAGAGCGAGATCGAGTGGAAGCATGGGTTTCTAGGCTCAAAGATCGCGCATATGGCAAATCCCAGCAACAGAAACGAGTTAAAGTGATAATTAACCCAAAGAGTGGAAAGGGACAATCCGAAAAAATCTATGCAAAAGACGTTGCGCCTATCTTTGATGCTGCTCATCTATCTATCGATGTGACGGTAACTAAAGCCTCAAGGGAGGCCACTGATATTGTGGAAAAACTCGATATAGAAGCTTTTGATGTGATAATCTGTTGTTCTGGAGATGGTCTTCCATTCGAGGTTTTCAATGGTCTTGGCAAACGTAAAGATGCGAAGAGAGCTCTCTCGAAAATGGCTATCGCGCACATACCTTGTGGATCTGGAAATGGATTACATTGTAGTCTTCATGGTAATATAAGATCTACCAGTATCGCAGCTCTTTCAATAGTTAAAGGTATTCGTACTCCTTTAGACCTAATTTCGGTCACACAGGGCGAAGAGAGACATCTATCCTTTCTCTCGCAAGCACTCGGTATCGTGGCTGAGTTTGACCTGGGAACAGAGCATTTGCGGTGGATGGGAGGAACACGTTTTGTCTATGGTTTTGTCATGAAGTCACTCCAAAAGAAAATCTTCCCGTGTGACATCGCAGTTAAGGTGGTTGCGGACGATAAAGAGGATATCAAGCGACGTTATCGTGAGACTATGGAAATTGGGAGTACTTCTGAAGAATTGTTACGAGAGAATGGTTCGTTGGAAGGTGGTTTACCCAAGCTGAAATATGGAAATTCTAGCGACCCATTACCTCAAGGGTGGGAAGTAGAGCAGCATGACAACTTGGGAAGTTTCTACTGTGGCAATGTGAGTATTTTCCGTGATAAAAGTACCGTGACTATGGAATCGAGCTAATTAATACTTTTTAGATGTCTTGGATGGGAGCAGATGTAGATTACTTTCCAGCTGCACTTCCAAATGATGGTTGTATGGATATGGTAACCATTGATTATTCAAATCTTAGTCGACTCCAAGCACTTCAACTTATGCCGGCTGTCGAGAGTGGGAAATTCTTCGGCTTACCATATGTCAATTACCGCAAAGTTGAAGCATACCGCATCACTCCAAAGAACCAGTCAGATGGTTACATATCAATAGATGGAGAGCGAGTACCATTTGGACCATTTCAAGCCGAAGTACATCGAGGATTAGGAACGGTCCTTTCAGTATCAGGATATAGATATGAAACTCCTGGACCTAAATAATGAAGTGAAATACTTGGGGATATTTGAAGGAGGAAGTTGTAATATGACGCTTGGATACTATCTCAACACTATCGCTAGTCCATGCTTTTGGCATGTGCGTTTTGTTTACTCTATTTATGGAAGAAGATTGAAGTCTAATAGGTATAAAGTAGTGGATCTTGGCCTTTCGATGTTTTCTTTTGGGTGGATCAAACAGTTAGATCATGATTAGAAAACATATAGTTGCGTAGTTTTGCATAAAATTATACCAATCATACCCCGCTAGTTCCCCACAAACCCTAATTTTCCACCACTGTTGAATCTTCATCCAAGGTAACACGAGGAAGATCAGCCGGCGCTACCCCACATTGATTAGCTGCCGAACTTCCTCTATTATGGTCTCCCCGAATCCCCCGAGGTAAAGATTCGTTTGCAATGTTGCATCAGATCCTTTGTATCTACTTTAAACTGCATGCATACATTACCAATTCATGACGTCGATCTGTATATGGACCTGACTGAGTGTATTGATCTTGTGATGAGCATAATTTTGACATGGGCCGAAGGGGACCGACAGGTATACTTTGGACTTTTTGACCATGTGGAGTCGAATGAAGTAAAGCATGCGCTCCAATCATTGTAGGTCAGCAGCAAAACTAAGATGTAACCTTTATGGCTCGTTATACGGGAAGTCCTGTTCTTGGAAAGAGAAGATAAACTTGTTTACATATATGGCTCAATTCATACGGACTCCACCCAGCTGCATTCGTAGTACTTGAGCCAGAATCTCTATAACATGATGTCCTGCCCCGACAAGATGAGGGATTTTCTATGCAGTCACAGAGTACGACTCTTCTCTTCTGCCCATCATGTACTTCTCAAAAATCCTCCTTTTGATTTCCCCTCTTCTTTTATCCATTACCGCATCTCCAATCGAAGAACGAGCCTCCTGGCCTTACGCCCCCTTTACCACATCAGGTCGATGGATTCTTGATTCAGCCGGCCATAATGTGTCTTATGCTGGTGCCAATTGGCCTGGTGCTGCAGACACCATGATACCTGAAGGTCTTCAATATCAATCGATTGCCAGTATCGTGACGAAGATTAAAAGTCTAGGCATGAATGTCATTCGTCTCACATATGCCATCGAGATGATTGATGATTTTTATGCCAATGGTCAAGTGGATACATCGATTTTGACAAGTTTCACAAAGGCATTGGGAACAACTAATGGCACAGCTGTTTTCAATCAGGTTATCAAGAATAATCCTACATTCACAAGTAAGACAACTAGGATGCAGGTAGGAATGTTCCAATCACTGTGACTTTGAAGATGTTGCTGACCTGGTTAATGATTAAAGGTCTTTGATGCTATTGCTGCGGAGTGCTTCAAGCAGCAGATTTATGTGCATCTTGATAATCATGTCTCGAAGGCTATTTGGTGCTGCTCCAATACTGATGGAAACTCTTGGTTTGGAGATACTTACTTCAATGTTGCAAATTGGCAACGAGGTATTGCATACATGGCTACTCGGGTAAGTCATTTCTCTCCCAAGTCACTTCTGCCCGATCACATGATTCTATCCCAATCTTTCAATCCTCTCCATTTTTGAGGATATTCTCAAAGTCATCCCCCTTTCTCCATCCATTACAAGATCTGACATAAACCAGGGTGCATCCTGGGGTAACTTAATGTCCATGGCACTTCGCAACGAACTCAGAGAACCAACTTCCAACGCTTCTCTCGATTCATCCTCATACAACTGGGCAAATTGGTACACCAACGTTGTAGCCGGCATGAACAGTATCCATACCGCTAATCCCAACGTCTTGATCTTCATTTCTGGTCTCAATTTCGATACCGATTTATCAACCATCCCAAACGCCGCTCTTCTCACACCTTCCACCACGCAAAAGTTCCTTAAATCATCTTTCTCATATGCTAACAAGTTGGTTTTGGAACTTCACAATTACGCAAGAAGTACTAGCAGCTGCTCGAGTTTGCAAAGTAGTCTAAGGTCTCAAGGATACAATGCTCTGAATGCTGGAGTCACGAATCAAATGCCAGTGGTGATGACGGAGTGGGGTCATGCACAGACAGCGGCGGATTATGCAACGGTCTATTCGACTTGTTTGAAGACCTATCTAACTTCCATCAAGGGTGGCTGGATGGTTTGGGTCTTGAGTGGAAGCTATTATATCAGGTCTGGAAGTCAAGATTTCGAAGAGACATGGGGTAAGTTTTTCTGAGTTTTTTGTGATTTCACAATCTATGGACATGAAGAGGAAGACGAGCATTCTGAATCCTGAGACTAACGAATTTTGTATAGGCCTACTTACCCATGACTGGTCAGCATGGAGAGATCCAACAGATGTGGCGAATGTGATTGTGCCGATGGTCAGTGGAACGAAGATTTATTCGCCGTAGAACAGCTACCATAGGTGGTCCACTATATTAGATATAGCGAAATGAATTTTACCTCACTTTACTTCCTTTCACTTTGCCTCACGTCAACAATGTTTACTTGAATGATTGGTAAAAACCTAACAAGGTTTAGCGCGTTCGCCCACAACAAACGAGACTTTTACAAAATCAAAATATTGATCGATCTTACCTTTCAAAAATTACACCACATAACCCAAAATGGCGCTGTATGAAAAATACGAAACCACATGGCCCGCCATGTGGGAAATCATGAAAGCCGATGACTTCCAAATAACATTGACTACCATCGAAATAAGTAGGGCTAAATGGACTGCCACCGTCAAGCACAAAGCCATTTATGCCGACTACCACTTGCAAGTCAAATTGTACTATGTGGAAAAATTGATGTGGCGCGAGCTCTGTAAGTTATTCATTTTGAATGAGATATTGGATGAGGATACTGATAACTCTAGTCAAAAGCCATCCTTTCCCTGGAGTCAAGCCCAAGCCAGTTACAGGTGCACAACCAGCAACAGGCGAGAGCTCGAAGTCCAATGACAAAGGGAAAGACACGAAGAACGCCAACGCCCCTCCTAATCTTACCAAAGAACAGGAGAATTCCGCCAAAGCTAAAGCGATTGCTGATGCTGCTGCCGCCAAGAGAACTGCTGAAGCTGAAGCCTCCAAAGCCAAAGCAAACGCCGATGCCGCCGCCAAGAAAGCTGTCGAGAAAGCCAAAGCAACTGCCAACGCTGCCGCCGCCAAGAAAGCCGCCGCCAAGAAAGCTGCCGACAAAGCAACTGCTGAAGCTGAAGCTTCCAAAGCCAAAGCAATTGCTGATGCCGCCGCCAAGAAAGCTGCTGACAAAGCCAAAGAGACTGCTGATGCTGCTGCCGCCAAGAAAGCTGCCGACAACGCCAAAGCAACCGCCGATGCTGAAGCCGCTAAAGCGAAAGCAAAAGCTGCTGCGGCTTCCTCAGCCAAACCCACTCCACCTTCCGCTCCCTCCAGATTACCAAGACCGCCAATGCTCACCAAACAAGACAACAGCAGTATACCTCTATACGCAGTTGGTCCTGTTCATCCCCATTCAGCCAAATCATGGCTTATTGGTGCTCGAGGTAGATCTGTGATGGCGGTGGAAAAGAAGTTTCCCAATGTCCGGATTCAATGTGGAACATTTAACCTCCATTTAATGTTCTACGCCGAACCATGGACATTGAAACTCAAAGACGACCAGAAGGTTCGTGACGCGTGTGCGGAGTGTCAAAAATTTCTGGGAGCGTACTCCCGGGAGGCCGCTAAGGTACAGCCAAGATCCAAGCCACTGTTTGCCGACGGGTATTTTCCTACTTGGGCAGCTACAGTTGGCTATTCACCTGCTGCAGCCCCCGCTACAAATGCTCCACTTCGTCCAAATGCTACTTCAGGTACGACTTCATCTACTCCTCCAGCTCCACAGGATCTCAAAAAAATCGACGATGCTCTAGAGAGTGACCATATTGGTTCTTGGTCAGAGGAAGTCGAAGCCGAAGAGCTTGACGATGAAGTTAAAGATGATAAAGTAGAAGAAGAATGGGTGATTGATGTACGCATTGCTAGGCAGAAGAAGTTGATCGCTCATCATAAATCAAAGCCAAGATTTCATGGTAAGAGTGATGAAGACATCTGGGAAATCTTGCAGGAAGATTATGCGTGGGATGAAGAATTCCAAGACTTCGCCGGGTTCTCGGGGGTTGATGGCGGAGATGAAGGCAGAGGTTCGTGGGATTGATTCAATCCCTTGTACGACCTTCCCTCCGTCTTCCTCTTCCTCTTCTTCTCCTTCTTCTGCTGCTTCTTCTTCTTTCTCTTCTCTCTTCTCTTTTATATGTTTCGTTCAATTTTGTATCCCAGGCCTCTGTGCTTGTATCCCAGGTCTCCGTGCTTGTAAACGCCATCTTCGGGGCTTCAAACCTTTTTCGGGGTTCAGAGTCTCGTCGGCTCTCAAAATGTCTTCATGTAACTAGTTTTCTTTCCACTGGGGAGAATGTATATGATATGATATATATCCCATACATATCCCATTTGATACTTGTGAAATATTCTGACTACTTGCTGCATCTACCTCCCGATCCTCTCCTACAGATGAGCGCGTAACTCATCTCGTTGCCCCCCCCCCTCTCTTCTATGCTTTCCTTGTGCGTGCTGCGTGATTCTTTTCCCTCCTCGTTCTCGTTCCACCTTCAATTTGCAGTATTTCATTATCAAAATATTACTCATCATGCTCCCATCCCATCCCAACTCCTTCTATTTTCTACTTTGTCTTCACACTTCCCTCCCCTTTCTACCCTTTCTACCCTTTCCACCCTCTCCCCCCCTCACAACCACAATACCATCACAAACATAAGAACCACAAACCTCCATCCCCCAACTTATCAATCTCACAAAACAACTTCCAGCCCTTGCAGCCCCCCAATCCAACTACTTTAGACCATGCTTATCAACCACCTAATCAACCACCTAATCAACCACCTAATCAACCACCTAATCAACCACCTAATCAACCACCTAATCAACCACCTAATCAACCACCTAATCAACCACCAACACCACCAGCTATGATATTCTTCTAATACCTATCTATAAATTTGTAAAAGAGTCGTCGGGGAGGGGCCAGAGGTGTAAGTTGCGAAAAGTGATGGTTGAAAAGGCCTCAGAGGAGAGGAGGGCCGGGTATCCTTTTAAGTGAGGGACTGGAAAATGAGGCGATGATTCGCTTGTGGTGATTGTGTGAGGTGATTGTGATTATGAAAGGGTAGAGGTAGAGGAGGGGGGTAAGATGGATATCATCTCAAAACCTAGGTCAATCAATTAGCTTCGCATCTTAATCTAGTATACTATACTCACTGTGAACTCATACTCTCCTCCCCTTCCCATAATACCAACCGCCCCACCCATTCTCCACGGCGGCGATGAATACAACCACTAAACTTTTGACTCCAGGTATCATGAGTATTTCAGGATATCAGATTCACAGCCCTAATCATAAACTTCAACAATAAAGCAATGTGAACCGTCGAATAAATTAATTCATGTGCCATTTCATTTCATTCATTGCATGCGTAGTCTAAATACATTTCCCCTGTCGCCGATTTTAGGCATGAACCACCAATGCGCTATCTTTCCCATCAATAAAAAATATATCCAATTTATGCTTGGTAAGTAGAAGCGGAAACGTTTCCTCCACGTCCAGTCCAGTTGACGTGAATATCCTTTCCGACTGGGTATTTCTCAGAGGCGTGCTCTGGCTTGATCTTGAAGGTGTGGGCACCAAAGTAATCTCTTTGAGCTTGGAGAAGGTTGGCTGGGAGATCCTTGGTACGGTAACCATCGAACCAAGACAAAGCAGTGGAGAAAGCTGGGGTTGGAATACCCATAAGGGCAGACTTGGAAACAACATCTCTCCATCCTGGTTGAGCCTTGTGGATAGCCTTGTTGAAGAAATCACTGAACAACAAGTTCTCCAAGTTATCATCAGCACGGTAGGCAGCTGTGATATCCTTAAGGAAAACGGATCTGATAATGCATCCACCTCTCCACATCAAAGCAATGGATGGCTTGTTAAGCTTCCATTTGAATTCCTTGGCAGCCTGAAACATTATTAGTATCAAAATATTGTTAAAAATTGGGATCTGATCATACCTCTTGCATAAGCATGAAACCTTGAGCGTATGAAATAATCTTTGAAGCATACAAAGCTTGCTCCAAATCCTCGAGGAATTGCTTCTTGTCACCCTCGAATTTGTTTGATCGTCCAACGTAAGAAAGGACCTTGGAGGCACGAGTACGCTCCTCCTTGAGGGATGAGAGACAACGGGAAAGGACGGATTCGGCAATCAAGGTAACTGGCATTCCGAGGTCAAGAGCGTTAATGGCAGTCCACTTTCCGGTACCCTTTTGTCCAGCGGAATCCATAATCTTCTCGAGAAGTGGGGTTCCATCATCATCGTTGAAGTACATAATATCACGGGTAATTTCGATCAAGAATGAATCGAGGACACCCTTGTTCCATTCGGCGAAAACATCACCAATTTCCTTGTCTTGCATACCGAGACCACGCTTCATGATATCATAAGCCTATAAAAGTTAGTTGAGAACTTTGGGGATGATGACTAGAGATTTACTTACTTCGCAAATGAGTTGCATGTCACCATACTCAATACCGTTGTGAACCATCTTGACGTAGTGACCAGCACCCTCATCACCAACCCATTCACAGCATGCCTCACCGTCAGATTTGGCAGCGATGCTTTGGAAAACATCCTTGATGTATGGCCAAGCCTCCTCGTTTCCACCAGGCATCAAAGATGGACCATATCTGGCACCCTCTTCACCACCAGAAACACCGCTACCAACGAAACGGATACCCTTTTGAGCCAAGTATTTTGTTCTGCGGTTGGTATCGGGGAAATGTGAGTTACCACCATCAATGATGATATCACCTTCCTCAATGTGTGGGAGGATGGTCTCGATGAAGTCGTCAACTGGCTTACCAGCCATGACCAAGAGCATAATACGACGGGGCTTCTTCAACTTGGCGCAGAACTCTTCAATTGAGTGTGCACCCTCGATGGATTTGCCTATCAGGATTCACCAGGGTTAGATTTTTGATTCTCGTCATCTGCCAAGAGAGGACTAGGAAAATTATCATACCCTTAGCCTCATTCTCGAGGAAACGATCAACCTTTGATGTGGTACGGTTGAAAGCAATAACGTTGAAACCATGGTCAGCAGCGTTAAGGATAATGTTTTGACCCATAACAGCCAAGCCGATGAGGCCGAAATCTCCGCTGCATCATTGTCAGTCAGTGTATTGAAAGGTGATATTTGTTGGTGTATTTGAGTTGAGAAGAAAGATGTTTGATGGCGGGGTATTATTTTTTGCAACGGCAACATGGAGGGGAACATGTCTTTTGTTGAATGTGTGTAAAGAGTGTAAAGAGTGTGTAAACGAATACTTACGTTGCTTCTGGTGCAGACATCTTGAGATGGTTTTGTAGATGAATTAAACGTTGATTGAATTTATCCTGATGATAGTTCAATGATTGTTGTTGACAAAAGAGTTGAGAATTAATTTGTTGTTCGGAAGAAATGGGGGGGAAGAATGAAGAGGGAGGGAGACTAAGATATAAGAGGTAGGAAAGAGATGGATGGGATGGGAGGGGAGGATGGTTAAGTAATGAAAGATGGTTGGGCCTTCTTCCAAACCACCATTTTTAAAAGGAGGGGCAAAGCAAAGCAAAGCAACGCAACGCAACGCAACGCTCTCTTATTATTCGATTAGTTTAACTTACTTCAGAAGCACCGGCACCGCTATTACTATTTCGTGGGTTTCCTGGTCTCATGTTCCTGTTCCTGTTCATACTCCGTACTCGACCCTCTCGTTCCCAAGATCGATGCTAGGTAGCTCGATGGATGACCTTGGATGACCTTGGATGACCTTGGATGGCCTTGGATGACCTTGACCTCTCTCTCTTCCTTACCTTGCTTGGATGAGATATTCTCCCAAAGTGTCCCAAGAATATAAACGCCGACGAGCTGTTTTCGGAAGAACTTTTTGGAGATTATACGACGGAGAGGAATATTATGATGTAGGACGGAAAATGATTGGATTAATTCTATATAAGATTCTTTCATGATTTAACTCTTTTGGTCAATTAATTTGATTCGACGACGGTGATTGGTTGAATGAATTACCCCTCCTTACTAACTCGTCCCTCGTTGATATCTTCGGTGAAGCTGTATCGAGAAGAGAAAAGATGCGTCCGGGGATCCAAACTAATATGGCTTTGTTGAATATGGCTTATGCTTATGCTTGTGAGACATTTGTTTGCTCGGTGACGCCTCATGATTATTCATCCAATTTGATATTGATACCTAGGTACCTACCTGCCCTGCTTGAGAGATTGATAGTAATCACTCGTGGTATATGTCGACTCGTATAGCTACTCTACTATGGGAAACCAAAGTATTCTCATTCTCATATCATACTTGCGATGTGCCTAACAAGTAGCTCCAGCTTTTCTTCATACCATACATCCCATACATCCCATAAGATTTTCCGTTGAATTGGAACCACCAGTGACCATTCCGGCTCCTCTGTGTCAGGTTGTTGGTCTTGTAACTTGCAAGTGTAAGTTGTCAATCCCCTCCACCCCACTTTTATCTACAGATTTTCTTCTGTTCTTGTCATTTCTCCGGCTGCGAGCTTTGTAAATTGTACCACACTCAAGGCACACTCATCTCCAAAGTACAATGTCCATCCTCGTCAACCAACTCTTCCAACTCAGGTCCTCGTTTATGGAAATTCTGGAAATCTAGACTTCTACATGTTTCCCTTCTCTTCTCACCACCAACAGTGATGACGAGCCAAGCGGTTGTTGATTTTTCTTACTAGGTATGTCGTAGTTCACCCCACCAAGCTAAAACAACCGGGAAATTCAACTTTCCGATCGGCCCGAAACATCACTTTGGAGCCTATATTTTAAGGCATGACTACTCGTACTGAGTCAGCTAATGCTCAATCTGAGCTGACTAACCATCTATCACGTGTCGTAAAATAATTCTGGATTCATGCATTCTCGGCGCCTCATCGTAGACAACAACGTCGGTCGCATTGCCAGATCATAAATTACCTATCATAACCGTATCAATCAAATACGCGCACATTTCAACGCCACTTAATAACAAATCATAAGATATCCACATCAGACAAGTTCGCAACAATCACGATAGAGTTCCGCAAGAACTATTCAGTTTCTGTTTAGGATTTTGGGGATAACCAGTGCGTTTTGAAAGCGCAAAGGTACGTCTAAACACTCATCAAGAGATATATACGTACAGCAATTCATCATGTCCTATCCTCCTCCACCAGGTATTAAATCTACTCCTTCGCCACATCCCTCCTTGCCCGCCCGACCACCTCCATCCACAAATCCACAAGCCGGGTTTAAACCTGCCTTTAGCAATAACAATAATGGCCCATCGAGACCTCCTGCATCGGGAGGATATGGCGGCTTTAATGGTTTTGCTCCCAGATCAGTAGCTGCTCCGGTACAACCAAGTTATCAAGGCTTTCAACAACCTCCCACTGCTTATCAACAACCCCAACCATACAATCCATATTCTGCCGCACCGCAACAAGAAGCTGCATATGGAGCGGCACCACAAATTCGAAATCCCTTTGCGCCACCGACAGCATCTGCAGCACGTGGTATGGGTGGATTTGATGAAGATCCAGAGATGGCAGCACAGATAGCACAATGGCAAAGCGCATACGCCGGAAAGGATGCAAATGCTACTTCTGCCTCTAATAATGGTTATACTGGAGCTGTTCGAAAGTATCCCACAACTGGAGAAGTATCAACATCAGCATCGAATGCGAATGCGACACCATTAGGTAGAACCGAGACTGGACCTAGTATGACTTCACAAGCAATCACGAACGCGGCGCATAATGATACAGGTGTCGCAGCAATTGTGTCGGATTCTAAGACCAATCAAAAGACAGTTGTACGAACAGGTGGTGGTTCACAATGGACAGATTCTTCCCTTCTTGAATGGGATCCTTCTCATTTTCGCCTTTTCGTTGGTAATCTTGCGGGTGAAGTTACTGATGAATCTTTACACAAGGCATTTTCTCGTTGGACATCATTACAAAAAGCACGAGTTATTCGGGATAAACGTACTACGAAAAGTAAAGGATATGGATTTGTTAGTTTTAGTGATGGAGATGATTTCTTTCAAGCTGCTAGGGATATGCAAGGAAAATATATCGGTAGTCATCCTGTTCTTTTAAGAAGAAGTACTACTGAGATCAAGGCTGTTACACCCAAGGACACCAAACATGGAAAGAATAACAAGAACAAGGGTAAAGGTGGTAATAGGAATGATGGAGGACAAGGTAATAAAGATAGGACTGGAGCTGGCATTCAAAAGGCAGGAAGCAAAACCAAGGGTGGCTTGAAGGTTTTAGGATAATTATCAAAGTAAGAGTGGACATCAAGTCAGTGGGTATCAAGCCAGTCGAAGTATATGGGAGAGGAAGAGAGGGCGAGAGAGAGAAGTAATGATCGTCGGCGCATGTCAAAAGGACACATACCGAGGTATGGCTTTGGATTTGTTAATGGCAAACTTTCGATCGAGCTGATCCTTGAGATACAACGCCACGATAATTTGTATGGTCGAAATTACCCAGAGCAGAATTATTTACTTAATAGAGAAGCATAACAATTGTTTGCATTTATAATTCAGACTATATCTACATACAAATCATACCTAGTCTTTGGTGAAATGATAGGTAGGTGTCGCCCTGATTATCGGTTCGTGAATAAGGGGGATAATAGCAAGAAAATGCTCCCAGTCAGGTTAGTCAGCTAATTCTGTACAAAGCATACCCCGCCTCGAGCCCGCGTGCCTGCCAAAGAAAGAAGACTTCCCCATACTATCCTACCCCGCCACATATTATCAGGATTTATTAATTCAGCCTTGATGATACCTAAGGTTGATTGCAAAACCTTTTACTGGCTCGCAAGAAAATTTCAGAAACACACCCCTTGTTCCATCGCATCGTGTTTCAGGCAAAAACCAAACAGTTTTGGTGTTGTCAAAGCTGTAAACATGTCAAATGGCATGTGAAACCGAGATGAAAGATGAACTTGATCGTACTTGATTGATGGATTGCCAGGGTTGTCTTCTTTCGTTGTTGAAACGTCCATCGGATTGCCTGGTAGATTGTTTCCAAAGTGTTGATAGTACGGTTTTGTATGGTTTGGCGATTCGAGGGTGTGGGATAAGATATATATATATATATGTGTGTGACCCCCTTCTTTCTATTGTTGTGAATTACTTGCATTTATATTTTGCATCACATTTATACATATTTGATCAAGAGAAATTGAAAAGATGGGGAAAACAGAATGGTTGGCCTGTTCAGCTCTTGCTGCAACCTTGGTTTATATATTTCCACAACACTTCATTGTCGACCGGATTTCGAGATCAGCGATTCGTTTTCTTTTAGTTGATGTTTCATTATTTTCATTTTGGCGCATGTTCATATATCCTTTCTTCTTTAGTCCGCTTCGTCATCTACCTGGTCCAGTGGTGAGTTTTTTCGACTCTTCAGGATTTCCTTCAATCATTAATATTTATATCTAGTCCCATAACTATCTCTGGGGTAATGGCACAGCACAATTTACCAAACCACCTGGACATGAAATCAAAGAGTTCGTTAAAAATGTACCGAATGATGGTTTAATCCGCATTCGATCCTTTGGCAACATCGAAAGACTTATTCCCACATCTCCTCAAGTATTGAAAAGTATTCTAGCGGATAATTCATACGATTATGAAAAACCACATGGAGTTCGGAAATTCCTTTCCCTGATCTTGGGCGAGGGGCCTATCATGTCAGAAGGTTCTCTTCATAAATTTCAACGCAAACATCTACTTCCCGCTTTTCAAGTCAAACATATCAGAGGATTATACCCAGTATTCTGGTCCAAAGCTCTTGGTCTTGTCGAAGGTATCTCTCAAGAAATAAGCGAAACGAGCACATTGGAAAAAAGAAATGAATCTCATATCGAATTCAATGAATGGGCTACTCGCGTTACATTAGATATTATTGGTGTAGCCGGTGTGGGTAGAGATTTCGGTGCTCTTCGAAATCCAGATGATCCTCTCGTACGAGATTACAACGAACTTCTCGAACCTACCTTTAGTAAAGGTCTTTACTTCGCAGCCAATATCTTCGGTCCTCAAGATCTCATTCAGAAACTACCTTTCAAACATAGCAAAGTAATCGCCGAAACAACCGGTAATCTCCGAACCTTTTGTCGCGAAGTCATCGACAAAAAACGTCAAGCAGTAAGCGAAGGTAAAACAGTCGACGGAATGGATATCCTCAGTATCCTCGTCCGATCCAACGACTTCAGTAACGAGGATCTCGAAGACCAACTCCTTACTTTCCTAGCCGCCGGTCACGAAACTACATCCTCAGCACTCACATGGGCCATTTATCTCCTCGCCATCCATCCCGAATGGCAAACCAAACTCCGTCAAGAAATCCACGCAGCAATTCCTTCTCCCAGCGATCCCAACTCCCCACAACCTGATCACACAATCATCGATTCTCTCCCCATCCTCAACGCCATGATTCAAGAAACGCTCCGTCTCTACCCCACCGTTCCTCTCTCCGTGCGCAAGACCACCCGCGCTACCAGCATCTCACTCCCCAACTCCGCACCCATCTCCCTTCCCCTCGGAACACGCGTGCTTATTTCCCCGCTCGCCATCAACCGATCGCCGCTTCTCTGGGGTGCCAAAGCAGACGAATGGTCTCCGGAGCGTTGGCTCCAAGATGGATGTGCGAATACTGGTGGTGCGGAGAGCAATTTTGCGAACATGACGTTTTTTCATGGGGAGAGGAGTTGTATTGGGAGAGGGTTTGCGATTAGTGAGTTTAAGTGTTTGTTGGCGGGGACGGTGGGGGGTTTGGAGTGGGAAATGTGGGATAAGGAGGAGGAGGTGAAGGTTGGTGGGGTGGTGACGACGAAACCGGTGGGAGGGATGAATGTGAGGATGAAGGTTGTGGGGTGGTAGGGCTGTTGGGTTTTTTGGGGTTATTGAGTTTTTCAGGGGGGGGGGCTCTTGGGCGGATGTTCTTGGGAGTTTTATGAACTTAAGGGTATGAACTTGATGTTTCCACGGTATATTAGGCGTTCGGTGCAAACCATTAATAGTTAAGATAATGAATACCATACAACCTTGAATTCTCAAGCAAAAGTGACCAAAAGCAAGTAAGAGAAACCATGATCTCATCACAAATCCGAAACCACCCAAAAACCATAACCCGAGAAGTCCTCAACCCCCAGAATCTCTATATATCATCAACCTATCTAGAATCTTGAATTTCAAAGTATTAGGATTTCAGAAGAATGAATAATTCCTGTTACCTAACAAACGTAACGCAGTATTTAGACGATGATGTGATTTTGAAACACCCCGAGAAGATGATTTGTGATTTCGTATCATCAATCTAAGTTCTACATAACCTCCTTTCACGAAATAGGAGATCCGTGGGTAGATATACTTCTTCAGCTTGAGAGGATGTTAAGGTATACGTTCCTTTCCTGTTGCGATGGCGTGTGAATGAGTAAGACAGATGACTGAGAGCAGGTGGAGATGCTAACCAGGATCAGATGAGAACGGTGATCTGGGGTTCACGACAATGCTGAGGAAGAGTAGGTAACATGCTGATCTGGAGTCGATGATAGCTATGAAACTTTCATTGACTGCTACGCAACACATAATGTAGTGCAAAAGTTGTGTGTCTATAATCCATAATCCAGAGCCAGTTTTTGTGAATTGTGCCAGGAATTACTCTTCCAAATTTCCCCTATCCTATATTCCGAAGCGAAGCTTTAGCTCTGTTGATAGCGATATCCCATAACCACTAATTAACAACACCTCGAACTCATGAACCAGCTTCAGAACAGTCACATTCATTATAAATCTCTCCAAACTTCACTTTCACTTTCTTATCGTCGGCCTCATCACAATCAATCATTTTCGCGTATCCAAATTCACTATAAAATACCAAAAGTCAACTTTGAATGTAAGCGAATGAAATTTTGATACGGTCAGTAAGGTACTTTAGAAATACCTTGTGGTCCTCCCCAAGCCTCTTCTTATGTGCCGTAGCTTTGACTGAAAATACTTTATCTTCTTTTTTTCCTTGAAAGTAAATCTGATTCTAGAAAAAAACTTACAACCATTACGACCTGCATTACCACCACCATATCGACAATTACAACTAACAACCACGATCGATAAACACAATTGACTAACTATACACAACAACGTATTAACAATTCATAAATACCTTTACAATCACAATGCTTTTTCCTCAATTCAACCCAATTGCTCCTGCAACTTCCAACAAGATGCACGAAAAGATTGTTCATAAAACTCTTAAAGGTAGAGTGACGAAGAACATAAAAAAGACGGTGACGTCTCCTAAAAAGCAGGTATCTAGCCCAGATGAGATGATGTCTAACTCAAAGCCAACTTCTGCGACCTCTCCCAATCGTCCTATCCGACTCATTCCTTACCCCTTGAGCAAACAGCAAGCAACTTTGCTTCGAGGAATAAAGACTTCCTTGAAAAAGTCTAGCAATCCCGTTGAACGCGTTGAACCCAAGCAAGATCAAATGGATCTTGATGGAAAGATCGAATATACTATCGAGACGAAGACGTCTGGCAGAATTCAAACGAAAAAGTCGGGAAAGTCCGAAAAACCAGTATTCAAGTCAAAATTCGCCAAAGAAACTACCTTTAGCGGAGTTGTCAAGAACAAGAAAGAGGCAAAGCCGGTGCTCCTCCCCAATTTTCCAAAATGTCCAAAGTCTCCTCTAGCTATCTCGGAAAGTCGAGTCTTGCAACGTCCAAATGGCAAGGGGCTTGTTGCCTTGGGTCGAGAGGTAGTGAGATTCGGGGTTGCGAATGTGTTGAGATCTCTTGAAAGCGATGCAATGGATACTGTCAGTATATACTCTTGCGTACCCTATAAGCTCCTCGTTGTATCTCTCGTCTATGTAATTGACTTGCCGTCATTCCTCTTTTGAATTCGCTCAATCTATCTAGATACAATAAACTAACGATCCAATCAGAGCGAAGATTATGACTGGAACTACGACGGATTCAATGGATATCTTTTGGAAGAGCACAGGGCTAAATGTGTACAATTCCCGGAGATGGATTTGGAACCCGAGACCTTGATCCTTTATTACAAAGGAGAGGTCAATGAATATGGTATTGCTTGAGGTATCATAGCCCGAGATTTTGGCACAAAATTGGAATTTTCGAAGGACTCATTGTTTGTTGTCCCCATTTGGATTGGATTGGATTTCCTGAGCGAATGCCGCAACTAACTTTCTCTTAAGAATATGGTACTGATAGCTACTCATACCTTTGGCCGAACCAAGAATCCTGAGAAAATGGTGTTCCCATCTGCGAATTTCCTATAAATTTCTTACGCGTTGTTGTCTTACGATTTACAGGTCTCCTTCTTGGGATGGAGGTAAGTGTCACGTGCTAGATCAGAACTAGTGCCTTTTCAACTTCCATCACCAAATTCGCGTCTGTTAACATTCGCGACAGATTGATTGTGAACTTCACCTGTCGATTATCAATCTCTCTACTGGTCAAATTTCTTTGAACTTACGACAATTACAAGCTTTTCTTTTTGCGATTTCAATCATTACCTTCACGATGCAGGTAATGCAAGACCCCTCTCAAGGGATTCATCGCGACTTGGTATGTTTACAACTTATTCCAGCTTCAATTGTCAATAATCATCTAATTCATTGCGCAGTTACATCACGTTCATCTTCTCTCTACATATCGATTTCCAATTACACCTACACAATTACATCCCGAAAGAGTCGCAGAATGGCTTATGAATGGACCTAAAATTACTCGCGATCAAGCTCCTGTTTATTGGACTTACCTGGACCGACCGGTTGATGGCACAGTCTTATTATCATGGCAAACACCTTCATTGGGTCAGGAATTTCCAAGTGATGGCTACGTCTGGGCTCCTGGAGAGACAGCTTTCTCTCTCGAAGTTATGGGCTGCGTGAGTTTATATGAATGTGATTTGGGCAGAATTTAACTGACCTCGTTTGCTTTCGCAGACTCTAGAAATTTACCATTGCAAAATCGGCTATGGTACTGGAGAACCTATCGCATCTCATACTCGTCGCCGATATCGACTTTTACCACCACGAATTCCAAACCAGAATCCTTCACCTGATCCAAATCTATGGATTATACATTATACTCAAGCTCCTCCCGAGGATCGTCTCCCACCACATATGATCCCAATCAATCAACAAATTCAAACCATTATGAGTACCCGACAATACTTACATCAACAAGGTCAACTTATTCACAAGGAGTTCTTACTTCATGATAGAGCAAATTGGGCAAAGATCGATTTTCCTCGTGGTCATCCAAGAGGTGCTCCAATGTATGCAGCAAGCATTCCACCAAGAGTTCCTCAATCAATGGCATATCCTACTCACCCTCAACCTGGTCCGCCATCAAAACGCGCTCGTACGGCCAATGTTGCTCAAGCCGCAGTCGCAAATAATGCTGCAGCAGTTGTCGAAGAAGACGAAGAAGAAAATTCTCGAGGAGATTGGTTCGATCTTACAACACCTAGAGAAATCAGTTATAGCAGATTCCTTGCAAATTATGAGTGGATGGAGGAAGTACTCTCTTCACCCTACGCCATCAATCAAATTGTTCCCACAGACCTTGGACTTGGTCTTCGTGGTGAACTAAGCAGTCTCACTGAAGGCATATTTAATGCTCCTCTCAAAGAGACAGAAGAACCAACTCTTAATTATGTTGGTCGTCTTGATCCTGGAAAGGCAGATGAGTTCCGTAAAAGAGCTCATGATACTATTGCACAAACCAACAAGGATATTGAAAAAATGAAAGCTAAGCATGCAAAACGTGTTGCAAAATTTCAAAGAGGTTCTCTTATTTCTCAAGCTGAGAAAGAATTGCGTACCGCTGTCGATAACCCTTCAGATATTGGTCCCGAATATTGGAGACTTGAAGGTAAAATCGATGAAGAAGAAAATGAAGAATCTGAAACTCCAATCAAGATTCCTTCCAAGGTTGATGATGTCCTTGCAAAGGTTGAAGCTTCTCTTGGTCGCCATGCAGTTGCGATTAGTGAACTCCGTCGTATTCAAGATGGTGGATATGAAGAAGTTACTGCACGAGCAAGTCCTCCACCTTCTCAACCTTCTCGAAACAATTCTCAACAAAGTGGTGTTCTTATGAATGATACTGATGTTGGTGATGTCGGTGATGTTGATATGACCAATTCTACTGCTGGTTTACTGGATCAATTCCACAATAGTAATCCATCTTCATCACACGCCACACCAGTAAGTGCCAGTTATCCAACTCCTGGTCACTTACAACATCCTTCTGCAGCAACTACACCAGCTGGAGCTTTACATATGGCATCTCCACATCTCTCTCAAACTATGGGAACACCACAAATTACACAACAGAGTCAATCTCCTCCACAACAAGAACAGAATGATGTCCATATGCAAGATTCATCTTCAACAGCGGAAACTCAACAACCGGTGACTACAACAGCGCCACCTACAACAGGTGCTGATACATCAGATTGGGTTGTTGTACCACCAGGAGGTGTCTCACCTACAGCAGACCCTTCTAACAACAATACAAACAACGATACACCAAATCCTCAAACTCAAAATCAAAATCAACAATCAACATTATCTGATTTTTCCAAGCCATCTTCCGATAACAATACATTAGAACAACCAACAACTTCTACCTCCTTACCCGAACCACAACAAGAACACCAAGAACACCAAGAACACCAAGAACACCAAGGGGGGCAGGAAGAACAAGAGCATCATACCGAACTCAATGAAAATGATTTCGATCTTGAAGATTTAGATACAGCTGGTGATGCTTTAGCTTCATATGATGCCGGTGATGCCATGGGTGATGATGGACATGGTTTGGGTGATCTCGTCGACGATAGTGCATTTGGCGATGCTTTTCACGGCGTCGATCATCACAATGATAATGTGGATGAAGACCATCACGGCATGTAAGATAAGCAAGGTTTATGGATGGTTTTGGCATCGATACCGACTTGACGGATGATACGAAGAATCTCTATGGAATTATTTACGATGAGGAGATTCGCCGCAACATAACTAAACGACTAACTTTGGGTTTTCGAACTTCACATTTCTATAATTGAAAACACTCCTACTTTGTGAGTGAGGAACTTCCTCTTTGGACTTATACCTTGGGGCATGAAAGAACCTTGATGTTAATAGAATTTGTGGTTTGGATACTGAGATGGAATATTGGTTTTTGAGTTGGTGATCTGGGTATTTCTTATGGGTTGGGTTGGATCGGACTGAACTGAACTGGAGTGGTCTTATACTAATGAATGGGTATGATTAGAGAGGAGATGAAAGGAGAGTGGCTCTAAAAATCATCATGCGCATTGGTGGATATGGTATTGATTGAATTGTGGTGGAACTTTGCTGATGGATGAAGATTGGTGGATGGATGAATTCTCTATTGAGAAAAGGATTTAAGCGTTGATTTTCAAATTTGTTTGCTTATTAGTTTCTTATTCTGCTTGTATGATAATACTATGAGTTGTATGAATAGAGATTCTTTGTTTTATCTTACCTAACTTGATTGAATCCCACATTTTGTGTGCCAATATGATCTGTGAGATTGGTGCTAACATCCAATGAACTACTAATAAATAAGTATTATCAACATTGTCAGGAATCTTTAGCCACAAGATCTTCAGTAGCAGAACAATTGAAAATGGTAATGTCTCCAGTGTAGAACTCAAAACCCAAAATCCAAAACGTCAAGGAACAATTTCAATCACATGTCATGCCCCTCCAAAACGCGGGGCACATTTTCCAGCGATACAACATCCAAGTCCTCAAAAAAGTTGGCAGCGCGTACCACAATGCCACTTTCAATGTCATTTTCTAAATGACTTTTGTTTAAACCACAAAGACATTCTTTTAAAAGTTTTCATACATCTTCAATAATCTCTGATTTCAAGATGGGAGACAATACCAATGCCTCAGTGGTAGATCCATCCGTCATAACCATTGATAACATTTCTACCAGAATGCCCCCTCATGATATCAATGGCGTCGAGAAATCCACAGATCATTTATATGCTTTAGTTGATATGGGAAGGTATATTTTCACTTCTTACAAAGCTATTCCCTCTCACTTCCCGCAAAGAAAAGAAAGAAAGAAAGAAAGAAAGAATCCCCTACTAAACAAAGCCTAGCAATGGAATCCGCTTCTCCATCTCCGATCTCTCACCTCCTACATCCCGTCTCCTTCCCTGCATCTATCGCGATCGGGCTGCGATATCTCTTTACGACGCGCTCCATTCTTCGCTTCCCGGATCTCGAGAATTCTACTTCGACGTCGAGACGATTTCGCGCGTGGCGGGGTGTCTCGCGGGATTCAAAAAGATATGCGATTCGTATGGTGTTTTGCGGGAGAATATTGGGGTGTTTGCCACGGAGGCGATGCGCACGGCGGAGAATCGGGAGGAGATGACGAGGGCGATTGGTAGGGAGAGTGGATTGGAAGTGGATATGTTGAGTCCGCAGGTGGAGAGTTTGCTGGGGGCGTTGGGGGCGCGGAGTGGGTTTGGGGGTGTGGAGGGCGTGATGATGGATTTGGGGGGTGGGAGTGTGCAGATGACGTTTATGGATAGTGGGGGTGCTGTGAGGGGGATGGGAGAGGTTGCGGAGATTAGTGTGGAGGAAGAGGGAGAGGGAGAAAGATATTGGTCGAAAAGTGCGGCGTGTGCGAAAAGTATGCCTTTTGGAGCAGCGAAGATGACGGCGAAGATGAAGGGAGGTGATATTCATGATATTCGCACTGATATGCGTTCTCGATTTCAAGAGACCTTTCGGGGATTATGTCACAGGTTTCCCAAACTTCAAAAGCATGTGAAGGATGAAGGTGTGACGATATATTTCTGCGGTGGAGGATTCAGAGGTTACGGAAGTATGTTGATGCATACTGATCCCATCAATCCATATCCCATCCCCTCTATCGCCGGCTACACAGTATCTGGGAAACGCTTCAAACAAACGAAAGAAATGCTTAGAGTCAATGCTGAGGAAAAAGAAAAGATCCACGGCATGAGTAAAAGACGTCGGGAACAATTTCCCGCCATAGTCGAGGTGGTGGAGGGAATCATAGCAACCGTTCCCAATATCAAAGAAGTGATATTCTGCGGCGGAGGAAATCGCGAAGGGGTTCTCTATCTCAAACTTCCACCTCAAATACAAGAAACCCATCCTCTTCTTCTTTTCCCCTCTCAATTATCCAGCGCCCCTATCCAATCCGCCGCGCTTGCAAAAATTCTCTCTTCCGCTCTCCCGGTTGCTCAACCGGGCACGGAAATCTTCACCCCTGAAATTTTGGAATATGTAGGAAAACACATGGGTGACGATATGGCGGATATATCGAATCTCAACGCGGCGCGCGCATTGCATGCGCCTATTTCCGGGGCGATTGCAGGAATGCCTGGGTTGACGCATGGGGTGATTGCAGTGTTGGCACTGACGATGTGTGCGCGGTGGGAGAATGATGTGGGGAAGGTAGATCGAGGGGTTTTGGAGGGGTTGAGAAAGGTGTTGGGGGAGGAAAAGGCGTGGTGGTGTGAGTATATGGGGGCGGTGGCGAGGGTGGTTTGTGGGGTTGTGACGGTTCCTGGGATGAGTGGAGGAGGGGCGCGAGGGCTGAGGTTTGAGGGAACGTGGGAGGAGGGGTTGGGGAAGAAGGGGAAGAAGGAGGGGGTTTGTTTGAGGGTTTTTTGGGAGGGGGAGAGAGATGTAGATTTGGAGAAGGTGGTGGGGAAGGTGGGGAAGGGGTTGGGAATGAAGAGGAGAGTGGAGATTTCTTGGGGTGAGGACATCATGGGTTGAGTATGGCTTTATTGTTGTAGCTCTAGAGGTGAGACAGGGAGGGTGGAGAGGAGGGAAAAGGGGAGACGTTGAAGGTATAGAAGAGAAGACCAGAGATTCATGTGATATGATTGATAATGATAATGATACCCCAACTCTATACTTACATACACGGTCATACATATATACATATATACATAGTCACAGTCAAAGTTAAAGTTAAAGTTAAATGATATCCGATCAAGCATTTCTACAATCTCTATCCAAGAAACCAAATATCTTCATACGCATGCTATGCTTTGCTTTGCTTTGCTATGCTTTGCTTTGCTTTGCTTTGCTATGCTATGCTACTAACCCACCCTCCACTCCACCCTCCAACCAACCCACCATTCATCCCTCCAACCAACCATCCACATATTACCACCCAAACCCATCCGAAAATAACCATCTAAGACAAAGTACCAAGTACCTAAAATGCATACAAAAAAAACGCCGGGTATCCCCATCCAATTTCATGCTATCACCTACTTTCGTTGCATACCCACACCACAGTATGGGAGTTCATATTTATATAAATATATACCTCATCCCCTCCCCTCTCCTCTTCTCTCGCCGTCTCACCGTCTCGCTCCTTTGGATATGAAAATAAATATCTATATTGAAAATGCAATTCGAGCCCAACTCAATCCAAATCAATGCACCCATCACTCTTCCCATGAATCCAACCAATCAATCAATCAACAAAAAATCAATCACTCAAATCCTTTTTCGAACTGCCGCCCACCAACGGCGCATGTTCAGCTCTTGAGCTTTCCCCCTTCTTAACCTGGAATCTATCTGGATTGGGTAGCACATCACCATCACTGGTAACGTAACTACCTTCCTGACCATCCCAATCACTTTCCCCATCTTCTCCATCCGCGTCACTCCCACTTTCTCTTGCTCTCTCCGTCGCTTCATGAATTCTATGTGCTTCATTTTGAGCATCTTCTCTCATTTTACGAATTTTGATCCAATTATATGCTGCGATTGCACCTATTGTAACGAAAAGGCCTGAAATATTGATCGGGGTGAGAGGGTCATGGAAAACCAATCCTGCGGCTGAAATTGTTACTACTTCTTTGAAGATACCTGCGATAGATAGAGTAACCACAGATGTACGCTGCAGCAGAGCGAATTCAGAAGCCGTCATGCAAAATGCTATACAACCAGGGAATAGAAGAAGTAAAGGACCAAAAACCGGACCTTTTACTTCTACTAGAGCTTTAAGACCCTCCCAAAGGGCGGGAAATCCTTCTACGGGGGTAGCGATGACGAGAAGCGAGACGAACATGATTGGAGCTAGGTAGAAAATCGAGGAGAAAGGATTTGAAGTTGCTGGATTGCGAAGAAGGAGGATTTGTGTTAAACCCCAACGAAAACCGGAGAAAAATGCGGCAAATATAACAAGGACGAAGCCTTTTGTTGAGAAATCCACTTCGCCAAATACCATCATTACTACACCAATTGTCATAGTGAATATGATACCGACTAAACGCCATGAAGGGATTTCGAGACGAAAAACGAATGCGAAAAGAAGTACAAATGCTAGAGATGAGGATTTGCACATTGCTTTTATATATGTTAGCATGGAAGTATTTGGAAATCGAAAGGGAATACAAACTATAAAATGTAAGGGTGATGAATTTCAAAGACATATTTCCAAGACCAATATCCAACCCTGTTGCCATTCCACATGGTCCTATGCGCGTAAAGTAAAACATTCTCGTCATTAACGGTTTCTTCGAATCCACCTCATGTTGAGCCATGTCTGAATCCGATACATGTGTATTATGAGGGTTGGAGATGGAATCGTATCGAGGACGGAATTGAGGAAGAAAGTAAAGGACGAGACTCGCGAGAGAGAACTGCACTAGCATATGCATACATGTTGTAAATAAAGGGAAATGGAAGTTGAGATGTTTTGGGTCAAACATCCATTTGTTATACTATTTGAAAGTTAGGAAAATCTACGAGATGGGAGATGGGAGATGATGAACTTACTATAGATATTGATAGAGAAAATGTATACCAAAGTCCTATTAAAACTCCATTCATTAAACTCTTTCTTATGACATTCCAATCCGCTTCTTTCTTTTCTTCTTTCGTTACTTTGACATCTCCCGCAATTCTATGATCCATTGATTGATGCCGTATCTTCTTCTTCTTTCGTTTGGCTTTGGATTTAGCAGTCAGCCCCGTTTCTTCATCGTCTTGTAAATCACCCTCTTCTGAGAAATGGTTTAATTCCATGTCATCACTAGTTGATCTCGAATCGTCGTCTGACACTCTATCTCCGGATTTCAAATCCACTCCAATTGTCGATGTTCTGGGTGATCGCTTTGCTCTTGGAGCTCGTAAACTTCCATCTAAATTATTCATCATGCTACTCCTCCTCCGCCGATGACCTGAAGGTTGTGAATCCATATTTGTATCTGTGGGATGTAAATCTGCGAGAGCTGTAGCAGCATCTGGCTCTAACAACTCTTCTTCCGACCGCGCCGATGCTTCAGATATTGAGGTTCTTGATAAAGTTTGTATGGGAAAATGGGATTGTGAGGGTTGATTTGACCGTGATTGTGATTGAGATTGTAATTGTAATTGCGAAGAGTCGAGTGAAGTGTTCGTAGTGGAGATTTGATCGGATCTGAGTAGGGTATTTGAAAACTCCTCCTCTTCTGCTGCCACTTCTTCTTCTGTGTCGAATTGTGAATGATGTTGTGCAGGATTCTCGAATCTCGTCTCTTCTTCTAAGGCCATGGTAATTACTGAATCAGGGTTGATTTGCTAATGTACTTTCAATATTTTTGGGCCTGTAACCTTTCGAATGGTGTAGTAGTGTGGAGATCAGACCCTCACTATACCGTGATGAGTTGCGATTTGATTGCGATTTATCTCCGATTATGGATAAGTTTTGGATCTTTTGGTAATCTTGGCAAGCATCAAGGGGGTTCGGAAAGAGGGTCAGAGAATAGTACAGCAGTGTACTTTGTACAGTCCTGGAGTGTCCAATGTCCCAGGTCCAATGTATCGTACAGTGCAGGAGTATGAGTTGTGTTACTACGTGATGGTGAGGTGTGATACAAATGCGTGTGAGGTTTGTAGGTGTATGGTATGAGGTACACGCGACTGGCTACTTACTTGACTTGGCGATTGATTTGAGTACGAATGAGACCTCGATGTTGTGAATGTGAAACGAAATTAAAGGATTTCATTGTGAGCGGTTAAATATATGAAGGTTTATGTGTTTTTTGGTTGGTTTTCTGATGTTTAGGATTATATATATATATATATATATACACCTACTTGTTTATCTATTTACTCATTCATTTGTTGATTGCGAGGTACATTTCATAGGAGTTGTTATTTTATACTACACAGTAACTACATGATTGAAGACTCGATAAAGAGGCATATCACGTACATTATGGTACATATCTTGATGGACTTGAACTGATATATTGGGCAACAAAGATATTACCACCCTTGGATACAATAGTAACGGGAAGGTAATCCTACCTACCTATCTACCTATCCATCTACAGCTAGGAGATTGCTTTGACCTCAATTGTCCATTCGAGTCTCGACTTCTGAACATTGTGATATCAGGTTTTGGAGGTTTTATATTAGGTATGGATCATCGTCTTGAGTTATGTACGAGTGCCGGTAGCCATCCATCTACATCTATCAAATGGGATTCTCGGGATGTAATCATGATCAATTAGATGCCTCAGTCGAGATGATCAAAGTATTCCTGCCTACTCGAGTATATATATATATATATATATATATATATATCATCTCTTACCCTCTCTCTCTCTCTCTCTCTCTCTCTCTCTCTCTCTCTCTCTCTCTCTCTCTCTCTCTCTCTCTCTCTCTCCCTCCCTCTTATTGGCCATAAACACACAAATAAACCCTTGACCGGACAATGCGGACATCCGTGATGACCTTTCTGCAAAGTATCCTCACTCCACTGCAGTTCCCACCGTGCAACTAATTACCTAGTACTTCCGCCCCGTTCCGACAGCTATCATCTGAGTTACATCCTAGTCTACTCGTAAGTCTACCTAAGTATGTATGATCTGTCGTTCTAGAAGTGAAAAAGTTCCTGAACATCTTGGACATCTTGACTCTTGAGCATCCTTCATGATTCTTCCCACAGATCGTCCATAGGTGCGTTTTAGGTGAAAACGCACAAATCACAATCATCATCAGCCTTAAGAGCCAAAGTATAATCGACTGACGTCCTATGAAGTCAACAAATAGAATGTTAACAAATGTTCAAATCCGATCATCCCAGAAAGTCTCTGATCTCGAATGTTGACAGGATTTCTGCATTGTCGGGTTCGTTTCACTCCCACTTCCACTTCCACGCCAACTCCCACTCCCACTCCTACTCTCAACTGTTGTTAATGACTTCAGCTGTCCTTCTTGACCGCTTATGTTGTGTCAGACGATGAAGCCATAAAGTCATCTTCTCATAGCTACTTGTTTCACTCAATTAGGCGGACACAACATATCTTCTTACACTTACTTCATGTTGTCCCTCTGACCCATTTGAGGTTCTTGGTCGAACAAAGATAATTCTGGGAATTGCATGGAACTTTGGGTAACGGGACATCCCTCTCTCCCTCGTACCTACTCGAGTAGCGTCAATTGATATGATCAAAAAGTCAACCATCACATGTCGTCGTGTGGTCGTGTTGTTGCTAAAAGAGAAAGGGACCTGGTGGACCTGAGTTGGGTTTAGTTCTAATCAACGGAACGTCGGAAATGTCAAGCTTTCCCCTCACATCCCGTCCGTAAGTAACGCAGCGAGCGCAGGTAGGTATGACGAAAAGATCGATCGCGTTTTCTCCTCAAGCTTCTCTCGTGGCTATCCGAGATTCAACTCCGATATGCAAACTTCTCTTCAAATCAAACATCAATTGAGCCAGTCCTCATTTTAATATCAAAGGTATTAATTTCCTGTTTTCAAACCTACCTGCAGCAAATATAAAGCCATCAATCATTCTTATGGCTACACAAATAATCTTATATCTTGTGTACACTCATTGACGTATCACAATTCACCAACTCGTAAGATTGACTTGATTGCAATAACATCTCCTTTTCCTGCAATATTTCGTTACACTGTTCTGATTGCTTTGTTCCTTTTTCTTTTTGGAACCGTTGACTATTTTCTCGTCATCTCTCATCACAAGGCAACTTGCATCAATCATTTCAACAAACGCGTACCTGGATCTATCAACAATGTCCGTCCCCGGTATTGCGCAGACGTCTCGTCGCCATGATACAGGATATTTGCCAATTGAAAATTATGGTCTCATTGGGAACATGCGAACTTGTGCGTTGGTAGGTATTGATGGAAGTATTGATTTCATGTGCTGGTAAGCTATGTTTGCAATCGATGGAGTATCTCCACCCTCTTCAGAATACTTATAATTTACAAATTCAGGCCAGACTTCGATTCTCCTTCAATATTTGGTAGACTTCTGGACAAAAACAAAGGTTGGTTGGGAGCTTCGTTTGTAATGCCGTCTCAAAATCCTGGGAATATTAAGCTACCCCTCGTTTTTCTATCCCGCAATGAGCTTCATCAGTTACCCCGGATTTTATCTCACCCCCAGTATCATATTTACCAATGCTAACTCTGCGAATACCTCAGGTGGTCATTTTTCCATCTCACCTGCGAATGGAGTTACTTTCAACACAAAGCAACAATATCTCCCGTCCTCCAACATCCTACAAACTCGATATATCCATGAAGAAGGAGTTGTTGATTTGATTGACTTCTTTCCACGTCCAAATCATAGTCATGTCGCAAAGAAAAGTTCCATGCCTTTCCGGGAGACTGCAAAAGTTCAGGGCGAATTAAAGAAATGGCTGGTACGACGAGTCGAATGTATTCGAGGCAGCGTCGATTTAGGTGAGAAAGATCCAGAACACGGCGGTAGTCGTCATATCTCACAACTTTGTCTAGATGTGGAGATATTCCCAGCCTTCAATTATGCCCGCGATGAACATGATTTGGAAATCCTCATGCCGGAACATCCTCCAGGAGCGCTTGAGAGTAAAACGGTCACCTTCTCCAGTAAAGATTTGAAGCTTCAACTCGATGTGACTATTGATCATGGTGAGGAGAATATAGATTCATGCCCTTCCCTAATATTCCGCCGAGTAAGACAGAAGGAAGGTAAAGGTGACGGTGTTGTTGCAAACATACGATTACAAGAAGGTCAAGCTATTTCATTCGTCTTGCGTGATGATATTCCGGATCATATCACCAGGGACGTCACTACCGAAGTATTAGATACACAACAACACGACACCCAAAGATATTGGTCAAGTTGGATTGGTCAAAGTAAATATACAGGTCGTTGGAGAGAGGTTGTGGCCAGAAGTTTAATGATTTTGAAATTATTGACTTATGAGCCTACTGGTGCGATCATTGCAGCACCCACATTCTCTATTCCTGAAGACATTGGAGGAGTTCGGTAAATATAATGAGATCTTCTATGGGCATCTCGCTAACTTTTGAAGCAATTGGGATTATCGCTACTCCTGGGTACGAGATTCTAGTTTCACCATTTACATTCTACTCAGGATGGGATTTGTCGATGAGGCAGATGCATACATGAATTTTATCAGTGATCGATTCAGATTGTCAAGGGGCCCAGATGGTGCTTTGCCAATCATGTTCACAATCAGGGGCGAGACTGATATCCCGGAACTTGAGCTTAGGTGAGACTTTGAGATATCTTTTTCTTTCCTTCCATAAGACTAATCATGCATAGCCATCTCTCTGGTTATAGAGATAGTGGACCTGTTCGTATCGGCAATGGTGCAGCTTTCCATCAACAGTTTGATATCTATGGTGAGCTTATGGACGCTATATATCTTTGGAACAAGTATGGAAAGCCTGTCACATGGGATCAATGGGTAGCAGTTCGAGAGATTTTAGGTATTTTATTTCATGCCACTCTTTCACTATTACATCATACTAAGAACTTTCAGATTATGTTTTGAAAATTTGGCAAGATACCGATATGTCAATTTGGGAAGTTCGAAGCAAGAAACAAAACTATACATATTCCAAAGTCATGCTTTGGGTAGCATTTGACCGTGGAGTACGTCTTGCAGAGAAACGTTGTTTGCCATGTCCGAATAAAACAGAATGGTTGAGGGTTCGTGATGCTATCTACGAGGAAATTATGCAGAAAGGTAATTTACATTCATATGGTATAGATTAATACAACTTGGGCCAACTGACAAATATATAGGTTACAATACCGAAAAGCAAATGTTCGTTCAAAGTTATGAATCACGCACTATGCTCGATGCTTCTATTCTCATCGCACCACTCGTCTTCTTCATCTCTCCCAATGATCCTCGATTCCTGAACACAATCGATAAAATCCTTCTTTCTCCCGAAAAAGGAGGACTCACAGAAACTGGTCTCGTCTTCCGTTACAATACCTCTACATCTGAAGATGGTGTAGGTGGTCGTGAAGGTGCATTTTCTATGTGTACCTTCTGGTTGGTTGAAGCACTTACCAGAGCGGGTGTTTATGATAGAAAGTATCTGGTAAAGGCAGTTAACATATTCGAAAATATGTTAAGTTTTGGTAATCATTTGAGTATGTTTAGTGAGGAGATTGCGAGGAGTGGTGAGCAACTGGGGAATACGCCACAGGCATTTAGTCATTTGGCTTTGATTAGTGCAGCATTCAATTTAGATCGGGCGACGAAAGGCAAGAATTAGGAAGATGTTGGAATGGCAAATGGTGGAAGGGAGATGGTATTTAGATTGATTCTGGGGAATAACAACTAGACTGTTACGACTTTTACGATAGGGGTGAGAATGGAAAATCCGGGATGGAAAACTAAGACAGGAACTTTACAGTATGGCATTCAGGTTGGTACAAAATTCGAGCTTCTACATCATTTATCTACAAAATACACAATTGCTTCCAATTTATCCAATAGGTAGAACCTATCTAGCTTTTCACAGATGTTGAACCTCTACAAGGCCGTGAATGATAGTCCCACACGCATTTATCGTTACACCTTTCAATTTCTATACAAGTAATCAAGTGGAAGACATATTTTATGTGTAGCATTACATAAAACAGTTCTGGGTATACAAAAGGCATGAATATTCCATTTAATAATTGTCTTTGATTCCGGCATTGAAGTCTTGATTGATGTTATGTATGTCTACATTTCTGCATCAATTGTTCCTTCCCCTTCCGTTCTAAGAAAGGAAGGACCCTTAAGGCAGCAAGTTCATTCTCAATCATTCACTTTTACTTGCACAAATAAAATCATTTCCCAAATCTTATCTTCTTCATCTCCATAGGTATTCGTCTTCAATTCAATCAAATCACTCAAACCATAAACTGCCATTTGTTATTCGAGCCATCTCGAATATTTGGTAACCTTGGCATTGGTGGAGTACAGTCGTGTCACGACAGATACCATCTCAACTTCTCAACACAAGAATTGATTTGATATTCATGAGTGGCCAGTGAAAAATCAGGGTAAAGGAAATAAAAGGTATAATCAAATCCGCTTTCTGTGCATTCTCTCAACTGAGCTGATTTTTGATGTAGTTCTCAAAGGTCGTCAACAGTCAAAAGCGACATCATCAACATCATCGTCGTTTTCGCCGTCATCACCATGCCAAGACTTCCAACCAAAAATGATCAGATCAATCTGCTTCGCATGCAACTTGAAGCAGAGCAAAGATCATGTGCTAGTCTCCGTCACACCATCAAGGCTAAGCAAGCTACCATTGAAAATACTCTTGCGCAGTTAAAGGATGCGAAAGAAAGTCTGATCCAAGCTAAATCTACTTCACCTTTCATGAGAAAACTTCCCATCGAACTTCGTCTCAAGATCTATAAACTGCTCTTGGTCAATCCTAAGTTGAGTGAAACTGAATCTATTGGCAAGGCTGTCGAATATGGAAAATCTGTCAAGTTCGAACTTACCCCAGCAATCTTAAGTACATGTAAAGCAATTCACAGTGAAGCGGAACCAATTCTCTACGGCTCAAACACTTTCATCATCGAATGCATTGGTGGTTATGGTCCAGTTGGCTCCCTTCATGTCCCACAATCACCACTCACCAGATTTACGGATCCTAGCTTCGATGATTTTGATGATAGTGATGCAGAGGATGATTTGGAGCGCAACATGATGGGATACTCTGGAACAGAGACCCCTTTTGATTTCTCCGCATTCAGCGCCTTGAAGAAGGTTAAGCGCTGGAGAATACTCACTGGGGCATACAGACCGACTCCAACAAATCCAGTACCAGCAAAGTCTTTCGTTCACTTTTGTCAAGCGTTATGTCAAGAAGCTCCAACGCAACCTCAAAGATCTCTCGAAATTGTCCTTGCACTTGCGAGAGTCAATACCGGTATTGCTACGATTAGGACTGAGGACACACAATACAAATTTTCACAAGATCAACTGAAATATTTGCTTCAACCGCTGAGGCTCTTGAGAGACATCAAATTGGAGTTGAACATTGCACAATTCAAAACAGACTTACCACAATCTACCCATTTGTGTGGAGCTGGTCCTGAGTATTACTTTCCTTACAGCGAAGCCCAGACAGTCGAGGTCAATCTCGAGAGATCTATGAATTTGGCATTGCCTATCGTTCAAAAATACCAAGCTATTGCGGAGGATCTTTCACCCGTTGAAAAGGTATTTATGATGTATGAGCGATTAGAGCGATATGTAGTTTCATTCGAAAGATCTGGAAAATTCACAATGGACTTGATCACTTTGCAAAGAGGTCATGAAGGTAGCAGGAGAGAAACTCGTCATTTTGGTTGGCAACTTCCTGGTGCTTCTCTTGGGAACCCTTTCAAATCTCGCTCTCCTTTATCGTATCATCCAGTGGAGCTCGCCTTTTCTAGTAAGTCAATCCTTATTCTTGAAGCATGAACTTACTTCAATGCCCGAACGATATCTGAAGCAACATTTATCTGAAAATCGCTGACACCTGGAACAGAAGCCATCATAGCCAAAGATAAGGAGGATGTTACAGAGTTCAAAGCTGCTAGAGCTTCTGTTTTGAAAGAACTTGATCCTCAATACAGAAGAATGGTCGATGCATCTAAGAAGTTGACAGCTTTCGTCGAAAAGGAGAGACTTTCAGGAGTATTTCATGAGTGTACTGGTTGTGGTGTATTTCATCAATACGAAGAGGATCCATACGAGAGTACTCTTGGAGAGGATCTGGATCGCTACATCTACGAACTCGATAAGATCGCGAGTTTATTGAATCGAACTATGCCTGATCATATTCAGATTCAAGTACAGAAAGGAACCACAATGTATGAGGCAGCATACTTTCATTTGGAGAGAGAAAGACTTTTCAGAAAGTTACGCTGGATGCAAAAGCAAGACATCGTCGTAAAGAGCCCTTTACAAATTGCTAAATGGACAAAGAGACTTATTGAAGATATGTGGGAGCAATGTCAACGTATTAGCTGGCACAGAGAGTGTCTTTTTAAGAATGATATTACAGATATTGGTTGCAAAATCAATAAAAAATTGGGACAAGGATTGATGGAACAAGAATTGGAGTGGCTCGAAGGATTTGAAAGTGATGACGAGGAATTTCATGAATTGCATTATGGAGATTAATTATTTGCTGAGAAGTCAGAGACTGAATTTTTGAAATGGACAAGGAGTGTTTATAGATGGAGAGAGATACTAAGTATTAGCTGTTGCAAAATTTGCTGATGGGAAAATGGAATGGGATACATAGCGATGGTGTATGTTCTAATGGCTTAGCTGAGCGTGGCATGTTATGATGATATGGAAATATGAAAGTATGGGAACCTGGCTGACTGGCTGACTGGCTCTTCTGGCTCTTAATAATAATTTATTGTAATTTCTACTATTATGCTAAATGTATGTATTGTGCTCGTATGATTTATTATCGTCTCCTTTCATTTCTTTCCTTCTCTTCCGTCTCTTTCCCTTTCTTTTGTCTTCTTTCTTTGCCTTCTCTTTCGTCGCTTCTCCCTTCATCTTATTTCGGACACTAGGCATTTAAAACTTGTGTGATTAGTATACTCGAGTAGTACTGTAGTGGAGTATCACTAGGAGATCTCGGGTAGAATTCTATGTTTTGGTCGAGTGTGGAGAATGGAATGGGAAGGGATGGGATGGGATGACAAAGAAAGAAGTACGGGGCGGGAGAGGGGAGGGGGAGAGGAAACAGAATAGTTTTCAGAGCGAGATAATCTTTGTTATGTTGGGAGGGATAGATGGAAATGGAGATTCAATAGGGGTGGGTATATTATATTGAGTAGTAGTAGGGTAGGGGGATAGTGAGGAGGAGGAGGAGGAGAGTGCGATGGGATGGGATGGGATGGTATGTATAGGAAGGGTGGGAGGGGATGGTATGGTATGGGATGGGATGGGATGGAATTGTAGAAATTTTCCGCATTAAGAATGAGAATATAGGGAGAGCAAAACGAGGTCTAAATTCAAAGCTTGGTCACTCTATCAAAGCTTGTAATTGTTGCGATGTTCCTCAGGATTTTCACAATCGCATGGGCTCGCCAGGTTACCAAATGCATTGGAGTACTACTTATCTTTTGGCAGGAGACTGTGGAGATTCCAAGAACCGTGGACTTTTGGTGCGATGACGGAACTCCATTCCTCGAATGACAATTTGTCGAAGAGAATGTCCTTTGGACACAGGTTAGTATTAAAGGAGCAGATTTCTGGGCATTTTTACCTTGATGAAAACAGCTGTTTGAATACAAGCTTTGATAGACGACATTGTTTTCTCGAGCTTCGACAATGTCGATTCGAAGGATGCTTTCAGACTTATATCACATTCTGGGTTACAATATGAGCGCGCTGAACCATGAGAGTTTGGACAAACGTCGATGGTTGTTTGCCCGGTAAACGGAATACAAACTCTCTGATTGTAAAGCTATCGTGCACGAGGCCTCAGCGGCTTCAGCTTCAAGTTTCTACACACCATTTCCGATTTCTTGAACAAGTTAAGTTCGTGCGCATGATCGCTACCTTCGAGACACATACGATTTCTCCGTCACGGTAATATATAGTTCCTCGATAATTTCTGTCCAGTGACCGATCGACCACCTTCATACGTGCATAAAATAAATTCGGACCATGGAGAGAGTTTCTTGGTCCATCGCTCAACCGACGGAGAGAAAATGAAATCTCTGTCCCGGGAGAATCTATCTACTTGAATGACAAGTGGTTTTTGAAACTATACATCACGAATCTCAAAGCTCGAAATATTGGGATGGGAGCATCTTTTCAAATTTCTTTCAAAGCTTCTATAGACATAATAATCACTCCGACACCTGGGTAAATAATTCCATTGAGCTATAAACAATTATAATTAATGATATCCACAAGCAAAACTAATAGGCTCACTCACCACATGCTCTTTGATCCAAGGTATCTCAGTCGACTTGATGATACAATGCCCCTAGCATCAAGAGAGTTCCAATCTGTAGATCGCTCCTAGGAGATCATTTCGAGACTAACCACAAAACCTATATCCGAAATCCTGAAGTGTATTTAGCCAATCGGTATTTAAGATTATATCCTCGAAAGGGTATTTGGGCAGATCAATTAGAAGGATACCTCGGACCTTCCTTCATCTTCCGAGAGGAGAGCCTCGCTTAATGTTGAGAAATCTACACGATGTCCCGACAAAGTAGCGTACCGACGGTAGTCAAAAATGTTCACGGGTCTCGCATGGAGAACTGGATTGCTGAATGTAATTAGATTAGATGTACTATTGTCTTGATGATGAGCTTTAGGAATACTTTTAAGATAGATAACAGAGTGAATACTACAGCCCCTTCTAGCGTGGGTTTTAGCTTTCTAGCACCTTAAATAGCTTCAACCTTTCAATAGGAATATAATGAAGCTTTTCATTCTCTTCAAAACGTATTTAGCCTCTTTTCTAAGATATGTAGAGGATAAAGGAAATATATTATATTAGACTTTTATTTTAAAGATTTAGATATTGAGAATATAATACTAATAAATAATATTACTATTCGAATATCGAATTGAATAATATATTTAATTCGATTGATAACTGATGACTGATGATCTTTAAGAGAAAAAACAAGCGAAATATGATTACTTAAATTTCTAATACATTTTGTAAATAAATTAAATCAAAAATCAAAAATCAATTATAAATAATTTATATAAAACTCAATAGAACTCGAAGAAATACCAACTCCTCATTACTCAAATGATATCTAATCCTTTGATTTTATATCTATATAAACGAATATAGGTTAATGACTTTAACTCATAATAACTACTATATCACCTAAGCGAATATAAAAGAGACTAGCTCTTTCAATAGCCCTTATTTAAAGATCTACTATTTCTATATATAGTCAGCTCTTGAGATAAAATACAATATTGATATCTAGAATCCATCATCGTAGGTACTATATCATTGAAATTCTTCTCAAACCAATAATATGAATTTCAGATAAGATAATTGAGTTATAGAGATATCTTAGACTGTTTTTTCTCCTACGAATAGTTAGCCATATCCAAAAGAGGAAGTATTCCTGCTTTCTATTTTCCTCTTGATTGAATACTATAATTATCAAAATAACTATCTCGATTTCGTATCTCCTGACATGATAGCGCTAGTTGATAACAATAGAGAGATAGACAATATTCTTGCTCATTAAAGATCTCGAAAACATAAAAGAGTATAATATATTAAGAATTTTGAGAATGATTAGTTTTGATAATCAAAAACGTTCGAAATAAAGGAATAGCGGGAAACCGGGGTACGGGACTAAAACTTATAATAACATATATTCAGATATAATATTTAAATATTGTTATCAAATCATTGTAATAACCTTTCGTTCTCTCCTTAGCAACCAAAAGGACTCGCGATCGATTTCAAACATGCCAATTCGCTTATACAAATCTTCGGTCGTAGTCAATTCCTCACCTTTCAGCTGTATTAAAGCCAGCCCGCATACGCATGCCCTGGCCCCACTGATAGCTCGGCCCGCACCGAGTTGTAGAAGCCGTACTTGTATCTTCGGGAGGCAGAAAGGATCGTAATCGAAACACACCATTCCACACTCCACACTATGATCTGGAGACAGATGGTACCCCTTTGGGCCTTCCCCTATAATTGGGTCGCCGGGTACAAATTCTGATTCACTCAAAGTAACGACAATCGACCAACCTGATACAGTGATCTTGCCTTGACTCACGTGTCCAAAAGGATTCCGCCCAACTGTCGTTGTGGTTGCACTATTGAGATGTGGAGCGGAAGAAATAATCGAAGCGTTTAGCTTTGTCTGAAAAGTATTCGGTTTGTAATCGTAATCATAAAATGCCCCGGAGAGCCATGTTTCCCCAATTTGAGCCACACCGCCGTCAAACGCCGCCCAGGACCAGGATGGTATGCCTCTAAAAGGGGTCGACGGTGGCCAAATTGCATCAGATTCGGGCAGGCGGCGCCTGAAATCGTCCTTCCCGAAGCCAGGGAACCACGCAAGTCCCCTAAAAATGTCACTTTTCCACAAACCAGCCAAGTATTCGTCATTTGGCTTAATTCGCTTCCACTCTGCTGCAAAGCCAGCGAATGCTGGTAGCTTGTCCTCAAGGTGTGACAGACGGCAGTGCGAATATTGTTGTACAGCGCCATACCAATGGCTTCGAAGTTCCTTGAATTTGTAATCGGGTCCCCACATTCGACTCTCCTCAGAAGGCCCGAGTTTCGATCTTCCTCCATCCAAGAATCGCAGAGGGGAGGCTTCCTCGTCGTCAAACCTATTAACATCGGTTTTGAGACGCATCATCTTTTGATTTTCCGATGCTGTAGCAGTTCTGCACTCCCACGTCAAACATTTCTTCGTGTAACAAATGATACGCGGAGACAGGTGTTGTTCTTGGAGCACCCAGCCACGGCTTTGCAAACGCCCCATCCAAGCTCTTTCAAACGAAGGTTGGATTGTTACTGTTAACTTTGGTTCGACGCCGTCGCTCTCGTAAGTCAGTCGAACTGGTTTCATCGTCCGCGATTGGAAAAGCCCATCTCTGGAATCTCTGGCATCAGATGCAGCGATTGTGCATAGAGCGTTGGTATATATAGTGTTCATTCGAGCGCACTCTACTTCAAAATCGTTTCGATCGTCCTGCACAATACACAATGAATCAATCCAGAGGTATCGAAGACCAAGTTCCCTAGTTGTGCGCACAGCATCGTAGAAGGTCTGAGGAAGTCGATTTTCAGGAAACCCTTGTAGCTGACTTTGCAAATTGTTCTTAGTTGTCTTTGGAGGGTGATTGGAACCCCAACAGTGAGTAAGTGCTGCGTAGTCCGCTCCTTCGGCGGGCAAGTCAGATGTGAAGCAAAGGCGAACTATGCCTGGTTTTGAGGGCACCGCAACATCCAGCAGCCGTGTAGGCAGTTCGAATTCTAGTAATTCTCTACAGTCTTCATGTTCCATGCGGCACTCAGCCAGCCAGGAGCGAGCGAGAGCAAAATTAGCAGGAGAATCCGACTCAGTTTCGGTTAGATATGCTTGAGAATCAATAGACCTAGTTGTAGCCTCATCCTCATGGATAATCAGCCGGTCATCAAGCCACGTTTCGCAATGAGAGCCAAAAGTGATCTGCAAAGTGGTCTCCTGTTCTTGCCTTCTTTGGAGCCAAATTCCCCTATCGCAGTATTCTGGGAATCTTCGTAGATGCTCGTCGGGTTTATATTGAGAACATTCGAGAGCATCCTGGAACAATTTGCAGAGACTACAGCCGTTGGCTGCAGATAGTCTTAGTTCTTTTAATGCGTTGCGACCTTGAAAGAGCTGATACGATTTTGTCGGCCCATATTTCAACTCCCATCCTCGTGTTCGTTCCCTATTACTGAAGAATGTTACTGCTGGAATGTTGTTGCACCTATCACAAAGTTCCTTTTTCTCATCTTCTGAACAGTTTTCTTCATTTTTCATATTGAGAATAAAGTGTGAATGCAAGTAGAATATAATCTAAAAAGAGTGACAATTATAAACAAACAAACGTTTCTTGGAGAAGTAGATGTAGAATGTAAACATCCACTGGCATCAAAACTTATTTTTCCAGATATCAGGTTAAGGTTAATGAGAGTCCTGAATTTACCCAGGTGGGCAGGTGATTCGATTCAACGCCTTAAGGCCATTATGCAGGCTTATGCAAGGCTTTATTTGATTTAATTGAAAAAGAATCATGGGTTGATCAATTGTTTCGAAAAGCATTCTGAGATGCTATCGAGTGAGTGTTACGACCGAACATCGAAGGAAGTTCGTCCAACATAGAAGGAAGTTCGTCCGAGCACGTGCGAGCCTGCACGTGTCTTGATTACATGTATATATGGATAGTCTAGTACACAAAGCCCTCCGGACTACGAACTCCTTCGTTCGATAGTGGTAGATTCTAAGAGCACTTTGAACCCTACTTTATTGTTCATTCGACCTATCGGTATCTCTTACGGGTAGAGTGTTATACCAGGTAGATAGATGTCAAATAAACTATCTATCTACCTAGTATCCCCTGCCCTCCCTCCCCTCTCAAAAATCAAACCACAAATTACAAACCTACCTACCTACATATTCACCTCCCCTCCATCATTCCATCATCCCTCCCTCCTCCTCCTCCTCCTCCCCCTCCATTCCCTCCATTCCCTCCTTTCCACCCCTCCCCTGTCAAACTCGGGTCCTATTCCGATCAATCTACTCTCTACTCTCTACTTCCCTCTCCCCTACTCCCTACTCCCTAGAGTACCGGAGCGGTCCCCCCTATAGCTATCTATATAAAACATAGACATAAAACATATAATATTCCCTTCTATTCCCATTTCAATTTCACATCCCCATTCAAACAGAAAATATATAAACAAAAGATATATAAACAGCAGACTATATATTGATGCATCCATTCACCCATCCATCCATTCACCCATCCATCCATTCACCCATCCATTCATTCACATCTCATTCATTTCACATATCTTTTCTCTCTCTTTCTTCCCATTCTCATTTCTTCCTCCCATTCTCATTTTCTATTCTCATTCTCATTCCCACTCTCATCGAATCACCTCTATTCAAAATAATCTGGTGATATCTAACCTACGATATCTCAAGCGGTGAATTTCTGCCCCATCCAATCACGCGCGCGACTCTAGTGAAAATTCCAAGCTACCCCTCATCATAGATTCATACCTGCATATCCATCCATACATATACATATTGCCAGCGACCTACGTTCACCACCTCCTCCTTTCACAGCGTGAAACCATACACTATCATCGATCGTATCATATCAAGATCCTCATGTTTTGACTTTTAAATTTCTTTCTTTCATTATGTGCTATGCTATGGGTACAAAACCATGCCGGACATTACAGTACCGGCGAGGACATTACGTTCCTCTTCAAATTTCAGCCAGTCAGGTTGCCATTCAAGGGCACCGAGTAGCAAGTGGTATCATTCATCCCATAATTCCTCAAAACATGCTATGCAAAACACCTGTTATGCTGCTATTATTTATTCCACCCCGACGCCATGCTAAGTGTGAAATATTACCCAGATTAATAAATACCTCCTCCTACTGAAATCGAAGTCGTCGACGACTTGAAATCCATCCCTATCATCGAAAGCTCCCACTCATCATCATCACCATTCGCAGCACTGGCGTATTCTTCATATTCGAACCTCGGTAGGACGAAATGATCTTGTATCAAAGATTGTTGTAGACTGTAAGCCACGGCGGAAATATTATCAACCTCGACAGTATTCTTGAGAGTCGAGTTTGGAAGTTTGGCGACAATGCGCATGTTCGATTTCCCCGTCGTATAATCGGTTACCTCTTCATATGAACTATTCACTGCGATGTATTGTTCAACTTCATCGTTGAAGCGAACACATTTTCTCGAAGAGGTCGATGTAGGAGATGATCTGCCAGAAGAGAGGGAAGGCAGGGAAGATTCCATCGATTCCAATCCAGCCGACGATGAACGTTTCAATAATACATCGCATATGCCTCGTTGTTTAAGGATCGGCTTTACATTGACGTCTGCGTATGATAACGATCTCGTCAATTTTGGTCGACAATCCATATCCATTGGAGAAGAAAATAGAGAGTGCGAGGATTCTGGCTTGTGAAGTGGTCCATATAGCCATGTTGTATCATGGTCCTTTTCCCTACTGTTGTGTTAGCATTGCGCTGACAAGAAACCCCGAAATAAAGGTGCATACCAGCCAAATGTTGATGGGTCGATGGTTTTCAGATTGGATCGTTTCTTCGCCCAACCTCTCCAAGACGCATTCTCTAATCTTTTGCTATTTTCATATGCGGTACGATGTGATTGAATGAATTTCCAGGACGCCCATAAATCCTCCTCTGGCCAATCGTGTGCGAGATAATCTACATGGCGTGATGGTTTCACTCGGACACCCAAGTCATCCACAGTTTCGGTGATATCGCAAGGTTCAGTGGGTTCCGGCAGCTCCGAAAGTTCGGATGCTGGTGATTGATCTGAAGGAGAGAGGGTTGTTGGAGTACTGCACAATGATATATCATCTTCGAGGTATGTCGGTTGTAGCGAGGGAGATTGAAGGTAATAGTCGACTTGAGCGTCATATTCCTCCTTGGGAACCTGATCCTCGTTGTTGTTATTCCATTGTATATCGTCATATCGTGGAAATTCGAATTCATCATCGTCGGCATCGTCCATACAAATAACTTTCAAGGCTGAGATTTCGGGTTGACGAATGATTCGCGGCGCAACATCGACCAAATCGGTTCGATCCACCCACTCGAAATATTCATCTTCTCTCGAGAGATCCATATTTCTTTTGTTGATTGTTATTGAATTGATAAGGAGAGTGCAAGTTCGGTTTGAACATTAAGAGATAAGTTGATTTAAAAATTGTGGCCGAGTGCAGGAAATATAAGTAAAATTTCCTTTTGTGAAATTTGATTGACTGAGAGTGAGTGTTGGTATTGATTGGTATGATACCTGGGTACTAACACGCACACTAACAAAATCCGTTGGGGTAGCTTAACGGGTTTTCGAGCTATTTGATACAATCCCAACGTCAAAATTTCAAAGACGAAAATCAAATTCGCATCGCAAAGATTATATGATATGTGGATGGAAGTAGTATGAAAGAATTCGCAAAATGTTTTGATGAGTATAAAAGTTATTTGGAATCTGTTTTATAACTTTGTACGATCAGCATAAACTAAAATGGATAGTGAAATTGAAGTGTGAAGAAATTGTTGAGATTCTGGGGTAAAGTCATGCAAGGAAGTGGATGAGGGTGGATGAGGGTGGATGACGGAGAGCGGATGATGATGATGATGGACAATGAATAATGGATAATGGATGATGGGTGGATTTGTCGGGATCATGCTGTGATTATGATAGATATATGAATAAAAGGAGGACGGCTTACTTGTGTGTTATTGTGGTTTTATTGTGGTATGTGTGTGTGGCATGTAGATATGAATATGGATATGAATATGAATATGAATATGGATCATGGATGGAAGTACGAGCTCTCTCTCCAGCGGACAACGGATGGTGGACACACTTTATGGATACTAAGCCCAAGCCCCCGCCCAAGCCATCATCGGTCGTAAGAAGAGTTATGGATTATAGATTAAAGATTATGGCTTATATGGAGACGAACTCCGATCTTATATATACCGCGCGAGAGGGAGAGAGCGAGCACCGCGAATACACATGAAATAAAATACATAAAATACCGAGCGGGTGATGAAATAAGAAGAATAAAGGTAATTTCGATATTATGTTATTACCTAGTTCTTACTTACTTCATTCCGTCATAGTCATCTATACCAGATTACCAGATTATCATCAATCAATCAATCAATCAATCATACTACAGAGTACTACGAAGTATGTACTAGGTAGGTATGTGCAAGCATTCTGATCTTCGGTACCTACCCTACCTTGAACCATCAACCCTTCCAAAAACATTCTAGCCGAACCACCGAGCCTTATGCTAGTGAGAATGAGAAATTATGTATCGTGTGGACTAAGACTAATGAGGAAGAATAAGGAAGAATAAGAGTAAGAGTAGGTATAGTGTGATACAATCAATATCACATTTGTGGAATTGGACTTTTTGTTAGTCTGTTCTGAGGGTATGTTGTGTTGTATGTGTGTGTATATGTATATGTGTATGTATATATGTATGTATCTGATATAGTGTGGTGTATACTGAGATCTAGTTCGTTTGATCTAGATGAGTAATGTGATATTATGTTATGTTATATTATGTTATATTATATTACTAAAGAAAGAGAGAAAAAGGAAAAAAGAAATAAGAATAGAAAAGATAATTTATTGATTTAATTAATTTTATTAATGCTTGAGCTAAACGAATAGATATTCCTTAATGAATTTATTTATCTATCTATAATATATCTGATGAGATGAGATGAGATTGAAATTATGAGAAAAGATATATCTATTTATATTTGAGGTTATAGGTGATAATGACTAAATGATAGATACTATATAGTTAAGTCTTATTCTATTCTCTTTCTTAGTAAGGGAGATAGAGAGTTGTATAAGTAGTAGGTTTTAAGTAGTTATTTACTAGTATATATTTATTTATATATATATTCTCAGATTAGATTCTTATATACATATATATATATATTCAGATATATAGATATCCTCAGATACTTATATATATATATACTTATATTTCCTTAGATATTTATATACATATATATACATATACATATACTTATATTTCCTTAGATATTTATATACATATATATACATATATATACATATATACATACTTATATATTCTTAGATATTTATATATATACATATACATATAAATACATACATCCCAAACATCCTAAACATCTCAAACAAAATCCAAAAGACAAAACAAAATATAATAAACCAACTCAACCTCCACTCACCTCC